TGTTGTTATTATCATAGCACGGAATTCTCAATGAACAAACTTCACAGACAAATTGTGCTGAAGCTTTGCTAGTGTTGATTTTGCCGTATGAACAAATTGCAATTTTTGAACAATCAATATCAACAGCAAAAGAATATTGTTAGTTCTAACTATCGCTTTGAATAGCACGGGGAAGGGCAATTTGTTTACTGTGCCAACTTTTGCTTTTTTTTTCTTTCTTTAGCAGTTATTTTAGATGATCTTCGTAGATACTAGTTATTCGGCGAGAATCTTTTTGCAATGCCAGGTTTGCAGCAAGATTCATATTCAATTTTTTGACACGACTGCCCAATAAGAGATTTCAGCCGCATGGAGTATATTTAGTAAACACTATTCGATACGTGAACTATTGCAGCAAGTGATATGAGCTAGCTGATGAGTCTGCTCAGCTGTCAGAACAATATGTTCTAGTTTACATCTGAATCCACAAAGGTTAAGATCAATTATACTTACTAATTTTGGTGACAAATTCGTACATAACTTCATACGTTGTGTTGATGCACAATCTCATCTGATTTCACCTTTAAGTTTATCTCTTCACTAATCATCTCCGTGGCTTTTCAGTAAAGCATGATAGTAGGCTTCCACGTCCTATGCCCTTGATGACTTGATGTCATCAACACTTCTTTAGGTTGAAGACCGTCTTAAAGTCGTATATTTACTGGGCAGATTGTTGTATGGAGCATGTTTTCCAACTATGTGATTGACTTGAGTGCGACAGTGGACTGAAGTTAGTAGTTTTCATATAGCGGACAACATGGCGGACGAAGCCGGATCTTCATGACCAATGATCGATAGCTCCTTCTTGCAGAGGACTGCGACTGCTATTTGAAAAGTGATATCTCCACAACAATCCAGCCCGACACAACAGCAACCAAACAAACGTAGCAAATTTGCTGACGTACAGCAACGGCTAACACGCATTATGGGGTTAACAAAGACCACACAATCGCCCATCTCTACGCAAAATACTGGGCAGTAATTGAAACCTCACTTGATCATTTTAGCTTCATCATATGTAAGGCTTTTATCAATGTTGAATCAAATGTTAGCTTGTTGCAGGTGACGGCGCATCTACAGAGCCTAACACATATAATGCTTCAGCCAGCAGCCCTCTTAATTGCAGGTGGGCTGCAGCTCTTAACTTATGTCGAGTTTATAAGTTATCCCTTCGGCAATGTGCGAGATGCACCATTGGGATAGTCCATCATCTTTGTGCTGCTGAAAATATCGCCCATCATTTGGAGCTCGATCTTGGGCAAACCTAACTGTGTTTTGACTGCATCGTTGCAGATGAAGACGTCGAGTTTTTTGCTGCATCGGGTAAGAAAATATTGTTGGTAGTTGTTTTTGAAGCAACATAGATACTAGTGATTCCAACTATATATGAGCAATTCTTGCCTCTATTTGCATACCAAAAGCCAAGCGGGCAGGCAGGAAGTGACAATACAACCACAACATCTAATGCTAGTAAGAAGAAGAAGTATGTTGCCTCAGATTTGATGGTACAAAGTTGGATGGAGAAGTATGCATGGGTTACACTGGTAGGCAGGAAAGAAGATGTGAATATCATGATAAGCTGCTCCATTTGCATAGAAGCACAAGCTGCGAATAACTTTGCCTCCAAGATCGTCGCTGTTTGCAAAGATGCAAGTGAGTATAGATATGTTTTTGAATTTTCTAATACTTCTACAAGCGCGAAGCGAATACTACAAGTTTTTACAAGGGTGTGATGTGATGTTTTCTTATGTATGCTATGTTAGCAACCATACTTCATTGACAAAGCATAAGACATCCGCGTCAAAAGTGAAACAGCGACAATGGTTTCAGAAGAACATAGCAATAGTTATGTCTCATTCACAAGTGACAACAAATAAATTTTTTCACACTGCGTTTTCTCTAGTGCTACTAGTTGTCTTTGAGAATTTGAATATTTCAAAATTAGCTGTGCTTTTGATATGGGTGGACAGAATTTCCCAATGCATGCATTACATCATATGAAAGATACTTTAATTCAAAATTGCTAGCTTCCAAGACTTGTGAAGGCCGTAACAATACGGAGATTGCATGCATTAACCGAAAGTACAACTAGAATTGTTACTTTTGATCGTTACTCTCAGTGATCAGCGAAAGCTTTCTAGTATCATAATTGGCTAGACTAGCTTCTGGTCCTTTCTATTCTGTCATAGTGGACAATTTCAACGACATCGGCAACAAAAACCACTGCTTGATATTTCTCATGTGAACTCTCCTCATTCAGAGAAATTCTTCAGAAAATTGTTTCCTCTATAATGCACTTGGCAGTATTGATTAATCCTTGATCATGTTGTGCTGTGAACCTTATTAAGTAGGTATTGGGATGGAGACATTTGGATGCCACGTTCGGAGTTCTTGTGCGCCGTTTTTTTGGGCAACAAAAAGAAGGGTACCAAATGTTATGCGCGGTGTTATATGCCCTTAACATCCCAATATCAAAGATGCATGCAATATGTACTTACGATGACTCCACAGTGATTGGTAGGCACAATGTACTGTACGCAAAGTTACAAAGAATTGTGGGGTATCTTTTGAATGTCCATTGCGCAGCACAAAAGAATATCTTAGCCCTTGGAGACACAACCAAGGATATGAAAGCTCTTCAAGAGTTGGAGGTTGTTCTTAAGAGGGTGCATAATCTGTTTAGTAGATCAGAATCTTGTTAAATGCAATGAACATGCTTTGCCAAGAGGCGGGGTGTGATCAAACTGCAATTTCTCTTATTTAATGCCACTCGGTGGTTTTTCAGAGCTCAATGCGTGGATGCATTACAAGAGAATTTAGCAACGCTGATTTTGTTCTTGAATAGAAAGTCAGGAAAGAAGTGTTGGGAGAAAGCTGCATACTTACACAAGTGTCTCACTGATGTCACTTTCATTTGCCTATTGCATAGTGTTGCCGATATATTGAAGACCTTAGAGGAATTTAGGAAGTATTTTGAGCAGTACAACAACCTGACTCACAAAATTCTTGGCCAGCTTGAGGTGTGTTTTTCTACTCTCAAGGATATTTTTGGCTCTGAGTATCGGATGGATGGTGATAAATTGAAATAGTTTTGAAAATTTGTTCAAGAGAACGAAGCCACAAAGTATCTAATTCAGCAGGTTAATGAGAGCTGTAGGATTCCTTTGATAATTAACTCTGGTTTCAGTATGGAACACGTTTATGTGTTCATCAAGGTGCTAGTGGGGAAAATTGAGGCAAATCTTTTGGGACGTTTTTCTGAGAGAGATGTGCTTAATGTCTCCAAAATCTTTGATCCAACATTTTATAGAAAACTAAAGCAGTCAGAGCTTGATAAATTTGGTGTGTCAGATTATAAAATTTTGTTGAGCCATTTTTGCAACAGGAAAAAGAGAGAGCAGTTGTTCCTAATTGACACGTCCGTATTGTCTCAAGTCAACAAAGAGTTTTCAAGTATGAAGCACCTGTTGTGATTAACGGTAAAGTACCTGCATGCAGAGTTACTTCTTCTCTAGAGAGACATTCATGATGAGCTTGGGCTGGGGCTAGCCTACATGCTTCAATTTGTGTATCTCTGTATCGTTATACCATTAGAGGTTTGAGTAGCTAGGTTTTTCTTTGCATAATCAAGACCAAACTTATGAATAGGCTCCGTATCAAAACAAATGATGCCCTCATTCGGAGCAAGACTTTGGTCAAATCTTAGGAGAAGTTTGATTATTTACAACTAAAAGAATTGTACCATCATAAGTCTCAGAACTTCAAGTTGCCATCATTATTTTGTTGATGATTATTCTTCGACAAAAAATGTACATGTTTATTGTATGAAATGATGGACCAAAGACAACTATCATATGTAGAGTGACTTGTATTCTTATGATTCTTTATTAGGAAAACTTCATTGTTTGTTATACTCTCTATTTGCTTAAACTTTCTATTGCTAAACCATATGCGCGAAGATGACATGTTGATATTATACGTAATTGTTCAGCTTTTTATCACACTCAATCTTAAAGTAGCTTAAAAATAATTTCCTAGTTAGTCAATACCTCCACGAAGCCACCAATTGGTACGGACTGAAATCTAAGAACTTATAAGCAGATTCCTCACTCATTTTATTTTTACAATGCCATCAAATCAATCCCTTTTCCAATTGGGAAAATGCTTCATGTCTTAGAAAATAGGTTACTGACATAAATGCTAAATGGTAAACAGAAAGATTCTAGGTCTGGTGCCGTCTAGTTCCACACCGAATGTCACCAGACCAGACTGAATGTCGGTCGAAACTGAACAGGCTGTTATAATTTTCATGCTCTAGTTCTCAGTCCACACCAAAACTCAAACAATGGGATGGTTATAGCGGACGTATACATCACAGCTATATATAAAGCTCCGTTCAATGGCTGATCACCACCTGCTGCCTGCCACTAACGAGAAACAAATCCAACACACATTCACGTTCAACAAGGATGAAGGACCGGTAAATAACCTCGAAGCGGAAAAAGGGACTTTACAGTTTGCCCCAAAAATTCAGAACCGTAACGGCTAGTGGTTGGTAAATCATGAGATCAGTTCCTAAAGAGTGGCACTTCTTGTCAGCTCGACTGCTTCTCAGCTCTAGAGTAAGCTAGGGTAACTTGATTTTCGGGTCTCTAACTTCAGAATCACCAGACTGGTCGAGCAAATTTAGAATTTCCATCGTAAAGTGAAGGAGTCCACCAAGACATTACTGATAGAGACACTACAATACAAATATTATCGTGAAGTGTAGTTGTAATGAAAGAATTGTGGAAAAAGTGGATTTGAATGCGAGAGTTTCGTCAATCGAGAGGACCAACAGCAGAAAAGACACAATTCAGAATGTTCAGAAGAAGATTGTGCTGCTCCTCAAAAAAATACACAGAGCAGATCAGAGCAGAGCAGGACAAGGAAACTGCAACGGTAACTGCATGGTCCCTGGAGTGAATTGAGATTGACATGGAGATTTACTTATGAAGTTTAAGACACAAATGCACAGTATGTGCAAACCTCAGAAACCTAGTCTCAAAGGCAGGACTCTTCCTGCCAGTTTGTCACTGTCTTTAAATCTCTTGCACAGTCTATTCTTATTCCCTTACTCTAGAATCTGGATTCTGCTACTTCTATCAAACTCTTCTTGGAAGTTAAGAACTTCCTAGCACGAGTGAAGTTGGCTTCAATTAAGTGCACCACTGCAATCTTTGAAACTGTCAGTGTGTGTAGCTAAGATGTTACACGTGATCAGAAAGCTCTTGATTCAGCTCGAATCAACTCCTTTTTGATGAGCTTCACCGTACTAAAAGTTCAACGAGCTAACATGTTGAATGAGATTGCAAAGGTTTCCTACTGGAACGATGTAACTGCTCCCAGATTGATTCCTAATTCACTCTAATCAATCAGTACTGCGGCCAGTTTCTGGCGCATTCCGGTGGAGTGGTGTTGAACCTCTTCGCATCAGTGCAGTAGTCGTATATGACATAGTTATATTGAATCCTCTTCAAATCCTGGATCTGCTTCTGGCTCAGCTTGCGATTCTCAGGTTGACCGTACCCACTGCTGTACAACTTCTCGTAGCAGTCGTGGATATCGTTATGGTCTTCATGAACTGTGCATGAGTCGATTTCAAAATCCTTGTAAGATGCAGCGAATGGCTGCAGATTCCAGTCGGTCTTCTCCTTTCCACCGCAAGTAGCCCAGTCCTCTCCGTTCCAGATGCTGGAGTAGACGTACATGGGTTGATAATCCAGATATGGGATTCCCAAATCCTTGCTGTTGTGGAATACTCTGATCACAGTGTCATCGACAAGGAACCTGCAATCGAGGGGAGAACGATCCACATTCAAAATCTCTGCTTTCAGAGGGACTGCAAGCTGAGTTTTGACGACGATGATCATTTGCAGCCATTGAAAAAAATATATATAAAAAAAAATTTCAAAGAAGGACCATCAGATCTTCTATCTACAGTTTTGCTTGCAAGCCTCTATGAGTAATTGTTTCAAGAGCAGAAATTTGTGTTCGCTTGGCTGAACCTCGGTTTGAAGTAATTAGACGAACTTAGGAAGGAATTCTTACTGGATGAGGTCCTGGTTCCAGATGATGCCGTAGTAGTGGTAATCTTCGGTAGGGTCGAACCAAAGGAAAATGCGCTGCTCGCGATCGCCCTTTCCTTCCGAGAAGACATTGGTTTGCAGAATGTAGGGCTCGCCAGATTTGTTTCCGAGAAATTCGAAGTCTAGCTCACACCATTTCTCGAACTTGGAAGCAAGCTGGAAATTCAAAGAGCATACATAATAAACAGCTAGACTCAGAATCGGCCAATTTAACTTATTATCGACACGAATTTAGAGCTATCTTCTTCACTAATGCTCCGTTTAAACTTATGATCTGTTATGATTTCATTCATAGGAATAGCGCAAGAGAATTGTTCTAATAATAAATTGAAAATCCTGAAATAAAATTCCAATCCAGCCTCTCAAAACGCTGCCATGGTTGTCAGTGACTGGAAACTTCAAGTGGAAGAGAATTCAGCATGAAATTGAAATGTGGACAGGAAGTCTTACGTAGTATGAGGTAACAGTTCCAGCTGAGTTCCCTCCCACCAGCTTTAGCTTCATGCCAATGTGCCCATAGAGAAAAGGATACTTCGATCGGAAGCCGGATCCTATATCAGTCAAACATTGGCATTGAGATATAATACAGCATCTTCTTCTCTATACTTCATCATCACTGAAGTTATCTATCGCAGAGCAGAAGCCGCTGACGGAAATCATGAACATAGATAAGTGCTGTCCGGATGATTAATTTCTCGACCAGCAATCGCAACAACATGGGGCAACTGTGGACTCGAAACGTATGATCGAGAATGCTCAGAAAATCAGATGCGTACCGGTGGTGTTGTCGAGGCGGAGATCGACGATGTTTCCAGCTTCGATTTCATCACCAGGATACTCGACCATCCAGTCACCAAAATTCACGTAAAAGTCTTCCCAAAAGGCGGAAGCGCGAGCGACGGTGACGTAAAACGAAGTGAAGCACAAGAAGGCAAGTGCCAACTTCATCTCGTGGCCCATTTTAATGGGCACCCTTAATGCGAGGAGGCGATAAATCTACCCTCCCAGGTCGACGACACAGCTTTAATATCTCTCTATCTATCCAATTGCTCACTCGAGTGCACGATTCGAAAGCAGAACTCAATTCTTTCTTGTCTCTCTCTATCCTCTCCCCAGGATGAGAGACAGAAGGAATTCGAGTGATTCCAGTAGTCGAGCGTCGAGCTACTTATTCAGGAGCTCGGAGTCAACCTCTGGCACCTCGCGTCAGCAGTACATTCCTTGAGTTGTGGCGCCTGATGCAAATTGCGAGCGGTCGTGCGCCGGACTGTTCTCATGTGGTCCGTATGATGTGCCGAATGTACATGTCACGCTCAGAACAGCTGTTCGAGTGTCATCGTGACAAATCCCTCAATTCTTCTCATGACCACAACTGTTCGCCCCGTTCCATGTGCTAGTTTGCGGACACCCCGTCACTTTTGCCCTCCCTCTCTCCCTTGAAACTTGGTCATCGATGATTGCCTGTCCTTCATGATCATCCATAGCTAGTGAGTCAGTCAGTCAGTCCGGAGTCCAAAGCGCGATACACGACACGGACATGGATAATAATAAATATGCACACTGTGGATGATTCGCTTTACTGTGGTCGAGTATTTCTATGTTCTATGTTCTACGCGGATATCGATCGGGACCATTGCACTTGATTCATGTGCCCATGAGTTCAAACCGCACCCTTCGACTCAGAATATTGTGTATTTCTGTAGGATTCATTCACTGCACGCTTGCATTTCGGAGAATTTTGTCTGCCAGGTTTTGGATGCTGAATGCTGTAGCAAATGATTTACATCCTCACCAAAAGCTCAGCAAGCATCCTTAATTTCCGACTTCTAATGTCCGACCAGGCAGATTGTCTAAATCTTTTCGTATTTTGAAATACGCAATGTGCGAGGTGACTCGAGGAGTGAGGCACCAGCAGCAGCGGCAGCAGATATCTCTTGCGAATGCTGCAAAGTTGCATTCTGTCGTGCACTGCCAGTGCCAAGTTCCATCCACGAGAAGAGGTGAACTGCAGCAGCGGTGATATTTCATATTTTTCTTCACTCAGAGATTACAATAATAAACAATCAAGGTTCACCACTTCTCCATGAGTCTCGATCGATCGATCGTTCGATCGATCAGATTCCACTCATATGTCCCCCATGTTGAGAAGATGGCGGAGAGACATGTTCGTACTATTTTGCCTCATCAGCATTGTACAACAAGTACACCCTGTGTTGAAGTCGGCACGAGCTAGATATCTCCAGATCCCTTCGGTCCTCCTGGACAAACATGGGGCTTCGGATTTGGCTATTCACAGCGTACGGGTTGTCATCGGCTTGAGTATTTGTTACTTGATATCCTCAGATCTTTGAGTTCCACCATCAGCCGAGTCCAGTCAGACACGCTGATGATCAGACTACCATCGCGGTTCCTAACTGGCTATGCCATGATACAAATATGTATACAGCAGCAGTAGGGTGTGACGTACACCGCACAGATCATTGCATCATTGCTTTGACACTGAATCTCATCAAAATCTCCGATGTTTTAGACTATATTTCAGTGGGAGGACAGTGGATCTCGTTGAGTAAAAAGTTCTCCTGGTGCTGGAGAAAGGTTGTTCAGTTGAATTGTTTTCTTAGAACAAGGTTAGTCATGAATTATCTGGTTGACAGATCTTTATTGTAACAGCGCTGCCTAGGATCCAAGCGATCGATCCATACGTCATCCATAGCACAAGCGGTGTGCGTGCGATGCCAGCCAGCTACTTTCTGGTCACTCTGATCGACTTCAGCAATCGCTACGCTGACGAAGTATGGAGCTTCTAGCCGCTATTCTCTTCTTATGAATCAAATGTTTTGCATGACGCCTGATATGATGCAGATTTTAGTCCTCTTCCTCGAGAAATTAGTGAGATCCAACTTCCTCCCCATCGAATCGAACAGGTACGTATTTGCCTTCTCCAGAACCCATCCTGATTCATGGTGATGCTGGCTGCGTATCCCAAAGAGACCGCATGCAGATTATGGTCGACTGTGCGATTCTCGAGCACCCTCAGGGTGTGATCAACGAGGGAAGAGATTATCGCCAGTCGGTATGCTGTTGGCGTGAACGAGCATTGGTCCACAGATCTCAAGTCCGCAGGCCATTGCGTGGGCTTGCGTGCACTGAAACTGAAACAGCTTGCACTCGGATCCAAACCTGGTCCCACGCTCCACGCATTTCTTGATCAGGAAGGAGAAGAGAACCAACATCTGATTGAACCGACCAATTGACGAGATTCTTCTCGTTTGAGGCTCGCCGATTGGAGTTGATATCATACACGCTACTGCTCCATTACCAGCAGCTCCAGATCATTGTTGTGATGCAAGAGATAGGGCTGATGTCAGACCCATGAGAGCACGGCATCTTAGAAAAGATCTGAACTTGTTGACATCTGCGTAATGTACACCACGAAGATTTGCAGCTCACCACGAAAGAGCACATTGAACGAGCCCGGGTGGGAAACAACGCCGTTCAGCGCTTGATTCATCATGCGGTGTGTGATTCTCACTGTTTCTGCATTACGGGCACAAACAAAATCAGTCAGTGTCAGTAGATCGAGAAAATACAGTTTTCTCTTCGAGATCGTGATCGTGATCGAGCCAGAGTCGGCTATACTCTCGGTCTTTGAACTCGAGTAGACAAACTCTGTATTTAAATTCCTGTGAACTCTGTAAATTTTTCCTTTAAGGGCTACTCTTAAGGTTCCAAGCAAGTTTCTGTGCAAATTTTTTTTTTATTCTATTTGGGATTCATTTATTACAAGAGTTGTGTTTCAAACTAAATGGGAAAAAAAGAATTTAGAATCTGAAAAGAAATTAGCAAGTTAGAAGTATTGGGAAAATAAATTGTTGTTGTCAATTAAGAATATAAAAAATTATTTATCTACTATTTTTAATTTTAATATGTAATCAATCAGAAAAAATTGTATGTCATATGATGACTTTGACAACTGAAATAAATATCAAAGTGGAGATTATCTTAACAATTAATCATGACTACATACCAACGGAATATCTAAGATTAAAAAACATTTTTTATTGACCTGTTAGTTTTAGCATGATTGTGTAACATTGTTCACATGTGTAGAATCATATTATTCACATCAAAAGTGTGTGAGTTAGATCATTAAAGAATTATCTTGCAGTTTTATCTTGAATTCTATTTGAATAGTATCTCATGTGCAGTATTTATGAAAAGGCCAGAAAATGAAATTGATACTTATCTAGCCTTTATATTTTTATACCGTGCTTTCAAATATTGTTATCAACAGATAAAAAAATTATTTCATATTCAACACATGGATACTTTAAAGTATCTCTATTTAGTATGTTTCACTGTACAGCTTTATTGTCTATTGCCCTGTTCATGTCAAGTTCTATATTTTCTTTCTAGCAAATATACTCTGCATTGTGCTTTCAATTGATCACATCAGTAAGATTTTTGCTACTTATTTGAAGTAAGATTTCATGTGTCAAAGTTTAATCTTCTATCTTTCGGCTCAAATCTACACAATTTATAGATTTGAGCCGGATGCATAAAAAACATCTTATGCATTTTTTAGTGACAGTTGCATTTAAAACTTCTATGTACTTATAAGCTGCTTTTGCACATAGGTCACTGTTTTTGGTACTGAACCTCATGTGGAGTTTGAGATATACCTTTGTAATAATATACACAAGATTCTGGTCTATGCTCAATGATGCGAAAAGAAGAAAACAATGTACTGAGTTTCTTCAAGACTTATACGTGTATCGTATGATATAAATTCGAAAGGTTACATTCCGTATCTACATATCTTACATACATTTCAAGTATGAAATTTATATTTATCACAAATCAAAATGATGAAAAAGTTGACAAAATATCTTTCATAAGTCTAAAATTTTATAAATTATGTTTCTATCACAGGAATAAACTTACTATATTTCTTCAAATCACACCCTCGAAAGTTTCAGGTTGAAGATCCGATTTGGTAGTCAAAGTTTTTGTGGCTTGACAGGAATGTAGGCAACAAAAAACGATTTCTTGTATTCTGGTCTATGCTCAGTCATGCATTAAAAGTTTTTTAATCTCATAGATTATCTGTCTGTATATATTAGAGTTTGAGTTGGCTTGGTCAATCCATAAGTTTCAATTTTCACTCGAAACCAACAGTTTAACTTTCTATGCTATGGTTAAAAGTGTGGTGTTTTTCATGGCTAGTGACCTTGGTTATCCGTTATGTAAGAAATGATCATTGATTTTTCTGGATGGGGCGGCAAATGATTGAGCAACAATCAACGTTTCAAGTACAGATATTCAATTGTTGACTAGAATTTCAAAAGTTTCATGAGAATATATGTGAGCATATATTTATATGTGGAATACATTTCAATCAATGTAGGATCAATAATGTGACATGCTTTACATCTCTCAATCGATAGAGAAAAAATAATTATTATTTATGCAGAAAAGAACAATACGCTAAATGATTATTCTTAGGGACTGATCCACATCTGTTTCCAATGTTATTGGTATCTTATTCTTGGTCATTCTTTACCCATGTCTATGTTGTTTGTGCATCTCAGTCGATTCTACGCACACTGCGACTACATTCTCATGGTAAATATTAAATTTTGCTATATGAATATGTATGTACAGTATATAGTTATCTCTCACTTATTAAACTTTTGGCTAGATCAACCCCGACCGTATACCTCGCGGGTCGGTAGGTAGTTAACGTGCGTCTCCCAATCAGGGAAGAGAGAGTAATAGAGTGAGGGCTAATTAACGTGCGTCTCCCAATCAGAGAAGAGAGAGTAATAGAGTGAGGGCTAATTAACCCTGTAAAACTAGCAGCTCCCTATTTTCTTCGAGCCTACATGGCTGAAATCATAAGACATGCATGATGTGTCAATCCGACAACAACACTAACAGGTCGACCATTTCTGAATTGTCCAGCTTGAAATGTTTCTCGCAAGTAAATGTATGCACCCATTCCGTACCTGAATTGTTGATTACAGCGCTGACAGAGTGATGCCCCTGAAAGTTCTCGTTCAACATGAACCCAAATGGAAATCATGAAGATGATGCTGCCCTTGACGGACTCGAGCTACAATAATTATAGTCCTTGTGACCGACAGTAGGCAACGGAGCCAAGCGATTCAAAACACCAGGATAGGGATCAGGCCACCGGTAGTATATATATCATCTCGACTTGCTCCTGAGCATATCAGATTCGCGAGAGAGAGAGGAAAATCTCCTCGTCATGGCGATGCATCCTTACTGTCCTTCGTCCCTCCTCCTGCCCGATTTTGTTCCCATCGAGTACTCCCCCGCAAGGATCTCTCTCGTTCTCTGCTCGTATTCCGCCATAATTTTCGCTATTGGCTGGAAACTATCAGGTCCGTCATCTGCTCATCTGATCTTGGTATGGAATTCATTCTTATAATTCTCGTGCAGTATTTGATAATTGTTCTGTGTGGAATAAAACCCCACCCTGGCCACTGGTTAGTGATGTTCTACGAGAGCTTACCACTTCGGATTTACAGGTACGCGCAGACATCTGGGCACATTTGATCGCTTGCTCGTGATCTGGTTTACGACCACAGGACTCGTGTACATTTTTATGAAGGGTTACTGGGTCTTCACTCCTGACTTTTACGAACATCGGCCTTCACAGCCCGTGACGAGGTTTATCAATGAATTCTGTATGTACTCTTGCCATGTTTCCACTGCAGACTCGTTTTACTTTACCGAAAGGCATGCGAGATTCCGTCGAAGAGAGAATTGTGCAAGTTGCAAACAGTGAGGCTCGTGTATCTATCAAGGCATGAAGCTATCGACCGTCTGGTGATTTCTAAGGAATCAGAACTCCAGAAGTTCGTGAAGATTTCTTATTTCTTTGCGTTTGTATTTAGGGAAGGAGTATGGAAAAGGTGATTCGAGATTTATATCCAGATTTTCCGCCCTCGTGGTGACTGAAGGCTTCACTGCTGTTGTAGAGGGGCCGGCATCTCTCCTCGCAACGTAAAACCTCTAAATTCCCGTACTCTCTTCATTTATTTGACCACGTCAGGCATATACCGGAGAAGGCAGCTAGTCCTGAGTCCATTCTGCTCTGCTGCTGAGGTTCCATCTACTGATGCTAATCGTGGTTGATTTTCCTAATTTCGCAAGGGCCAAAGGAAATCTAGCTGTGATTTTGGCCACCATCGATTCCGATGTAGAGTTGTGAAATCCTTCATCTTTGATAACCCCTGCCTGTGTTGCAGATATGCAATTTTATACAACAAGCCATACGCGCATCCACTGCAGTTTGCTGCTTCGCTGACCAAGTTTTATAATGGCTTTATATACTTCACAACTGCGTATCTTGCACGGACAAGCTTCAACGTCCCAGGGCCAGTGTACTTCTGGGGGTACTTTGTAGCTGTCAAGGGGATTTTCGTAGTGGTTCCCTTCGTGATTGTCTGTCGTTCATGGATTTACCTGGTGGAGGCATTCGCATCAAAGAACAGCTCTGGGAGAACTTCTTTGGAGAAGAAGCATTTCTGATTGTGTACAAAAGGTGATCGTAAAATGTTACCTGGAAGTTAGTTGTATACATAATACGATTCCAGTTTCCGAATCGTTGTAGGATCTGTCGAAAGCATTCTGGAATGTTGACAATTTTCGAAATCTTGAGGGTTTTCAGTGTTTCAGGGCCCATGTGCTCCATGGAATGAAATCATAATCCTGCATACTCCTCTGTCTCTTCCTGACTTTTAATTCTTTGGCAGGTGCCTCGATTCTAGAGAAGAGATCTTGACCTAACTTCTCTTGTTAGATAATGTACGCTGAGGAGGAGTTGTGGCTGGCGCAGATCTTTCCATTGGCCCTCCTCAGATCTGAGATGTAACAGGACTCTTCACACTAACTGCACAGAAATTCTTCCCGTGAAATTAGTTCTCAGCGGAATGAGTAACTCAACAAGCTAAGCCAGGAAGAACATTGCAGTTTAGATGTCTTCACTCACTCTAGAACTCAACAGAAATTAAAGTGAGAACAAAATTCAGCATCCTCTGAAATGATCATAAACACATTCCAATCAATTCCACAGAAACCAAAACGAAAGGAGTTGCACTCACTAACTATCAAGCCATTTCTCGATGATGGGGACAATACCTCTTCAACCTGCAAGTCATTCAAGCGTCTAGCTGAGTTCTACTAAATCAAAATCTAATTCTACTCAGGATTGATTTCATGAGTATTTCAGATCTGTCAATACAAAACAACACCAATGCAGCAGCACCGCTTTTCCCTTTTTATCCTTATAGCAACTACGATTCTCAGCCGAACACTTGTGTAGGGAAAAGATCACTGCCCCTAACTTGTACTCGTATATATGCAGAATTGTCTACTTAATACTCCTGAACCTAAGCAGATTGACTCTTCTGGATCTACTGCGACTCTAAGATACTGCCCATCCTTGCCTGGAGTCCTCAAATGATTGCGGTCCCTCTCATCTACAATCGATCACTTCCGCAGAATTCTCTCTTGCAGATTAGGAATCGTATTTTTCCTGAGAGATTTATAGAGCGCACCTTGATATCTGCAAATTGTCCATCACTTCCCGCAACTACTATCATCGCTTCATCCCGACATCGCACATCGTAGTTTGCAACCCCGTAATACTCCTTCCAATAGAACAGGTCTTTTCACTGTGACCCAATATACCTGATCTTCCACGGTCTAAAAATGCCATCCGTAATTGGGGGTTCTTCTTTTCAGAAATCCTGCAATGCTACTCGAAATGTGACGGATCCGATTGTTTCTATTGTTGAATCTCTCCTCTAAAGGTATCAAGTGTAGGATAGCAATTGCTCAATTCTTGCTCCATTCAAGCTCAACAGATACATTGGATATGAATTTCACATTGTTGTTTAGATTCGTGTGGAATACTTTATATACTAAATTATTTGATATAAGTTTGAAATATATATAATTCTGAATTTTTTAAATATAAAAATGTATTTTATACTTCGTAGATATATAACATGAGATTTAGAAGAATGTATGATGATTTATTGCCATGTTTTGGATTTTAAAAATTACAGTTTAAATGTTAAAAATATGAAATTATAATTCTACAAATAAATAGATTCCTTGGAGAACTATTTAAAAATTAAAATATTATTATATAGAATTAACATTAAATTATCAAAATTATCAACATATAATTACTCAACTGAGTCAAATTCAAAAATATATCATATTCAAATCGATTTCTTTATAACAAAGTAGAATAATACTCACATGAAATAGTAATTTTCATACTATAATTTATAAGAATCAAACAAATTTATATGATTTCATATCATTTCTATGAAATGTAATTTTTCACCTCTGAAAAGAATCATTTTTCATTGAAAGTACTTTTAGGTGAAAAGGTTTTGCAGACCAATGTACAGGCCTCTCTATATTGGACGGATTCCTTATGATATCTCAACAAAATAAGGATAATTCTCAAAATCAAAATATGGAATATATGGAACTTGACAGTTTTCGACCTAATTTTGACCTAAATTCTCATGTTTTCGGTCGAATTTGTCAGCAATGTAATACACGTTAGAGAGAAATGGGTGTTATCTTTGATCTCTGAATATACTTTTACCATTTTAGCATGGAGAAATCACACTCCCCACCGTTGAAGTGTTCGAAAATGGTGAAACTAATACTAAGAAAAACTCCATGAGTTGAAGAAATCTATTCTTAAAACCTGAAATTAAGACTTTTCAATCAACAGAAATTTGTGCACCTAGAATATCGACTTCGTAATATTCTGGGTTCACTATTGTCACAAACTATCACAACAAAGATTTAGCTGAATATTTATGTAAATTTCTCTAGTAAAATCGCCTACATCAACAAAGATTTGTCAAAAATTGTCACCCAAAGTTAGTTACTCTATTAAAGACACATAGACAACAAAGAATTTTTGTTGGAAATAATGGAACTTTCTGAAAACGAAATACGTCACTTTGGCCGTCAAGTTCCGTAGTTAGAGAGGCCTGCCAATGTAGAATATAACAAGGAACCAGAAGCTTCCAGAAGACCACGACAGAGGTTACTCGGAACTATGGATGAAGAATGTTCGTCTCTCTTCTCTCTCTCGACTGCAATACGTGACAAATACGTGCATTTATATTTGATACATCGTCGTTGAGCGATGTTGCAGTGGAGGGGATGGAATGGAGCCTTCAATTACTGCCGTAATATACACCCACAACATAGGTCAACGATTTCCAGCGGAGCTCCCAGTGCATGATGAATATTCTGGAGATATCATACGCCCTGCATTGTAAGCTTAGTATTTCGCGCGTGATGATTGCGAATTAAGTCTCACGCAGCATGAGCTTCTAAAGCACCGTGCAGCAGTAAAGCACTTAGCGTTCTCTCTTTTTAGCCATGACTGAAAGTATTTCATCTGCACAGCGAGAACTTTATTATGTTGAACTTTCCGGAGCCTAAATCCAAACCTACCATAAAGAAATGACCGCAATCGAATAGAATTGATCGGTGCTCGACGGAGTATTTATATCGAACTGAACGAGACATTGTATGCCCATATGAATTAAACACCACTATCGCCATAATGTCTGGCACCTCCTAAATGCACTGATGTAAACTTCTTCGCCTGAGGTGGAAACCCGTAAAGAATTTTTAGGATCTCGTTTTTCTGATATGAAGTTGTGTTTCCAGCTTACACTGAATTGATTCAGCTCAGACTCCAGCATACAACAACCTGTAGACTTAAACCGATAATTTCTAATCCACATGATTAAGGAGACGGAATCAACGACCTACACAATCGTTCCCACCCGCCACTCAGCATTCGAGGACTTTTTTTTAAGAAACGTGCTACTCAGAACTGTCTGATCACGTGAGTCAGACGACTGCTGACTGCTGACGCCCTACTTCGCATGAACGGAAAGATTAAAAACTTCATGCGACCATCACAACGACGAGAGCTTCTAAATACTTCGCGAAATCGCCTCTAATCATCGCGTCAGTGGCATCGTAGGTTCGGACATCGTAATCGTAATCGCTTGGTCCTTGGCCATCGGCTGTTGAGAAATTAAAAGCTCACCTTCGATGAGGACCGTATCAATTGACTTTTGCATCTAGAGTCCTCAGGTGATCTTTAAGGGAAAGGAGGAATCAGGTGGATAGGTGTTCAATGGGCATTGGACAGTGGGTATTTGGGGAGATTACGTACACGCTGTACCATCTGTGCCCTGTCAGACAGCGAACTACAGTATCTGAGCGCAACATAAAGCTCGATCCGGTGTGGTCTCTGGAGCTCCTGCACCAATGGAGAGACAACTACAAAAAGGTCGGGTCTGTCAGAAGAAGAGAATACAGAGATCGTTCAACATCTTCATCATTCTGTGGCGCACCTTTGCTGGCCGATGCTTCCCGAATCCCCCACAAGAACTCACTCCCATGCACGCCCCTGTTTAGAAATGAGATCAGCAATGGTATCGTTCACCCAGAGCAGAGCAGTCGTCGCCCGCATCCCTGATTTTTGAGACCCCGCGAGGCCAGAGCTAGATGCGTTTACAGCACCAGTGATTTCGATGCCGCTCACAGCTTCCCTGAATCAAGTTGCGTTGTAATTTCACTGGACAGCCCAGCTGTTAGTTAGGCACGTCTACCTTCGAGCCATGATCTGTTCCGACCGAAGAACTAGATAATGGGCGAGGGATTTTTTGCATAAGCTCGAGCGTATGTGCGAAAGCAGATTTTATTGCCCCACGTTTCTGGACCAGCCGTTGGAAAGCTCGAACTCTTCTCGAACTTTCGAGCACTCATCAAGATTGTTAGAAGCCTCGAAGCCAGAGGAAAACGGGGAGCTCTAAATCCAGAACATTCTAGAAATTCGACATCGATAGCGAGGTTTCTGGAAGCAGCGCGAGACTAGACCGTGGAGATCGGAGGCATGACCATCGCATTCCGTTCGTCCCGTTGATTTTCTCATAAATGACACGAGAAACTGCTTCCCCTGCCAGTTTTCGAGAACCCTAGAACTTCCACCGATATCGGTCCTCTGCCCCCGCACTCGCCGAGGATCTCACAGCGAAACACGCTTCAAAGTTCGCACATTCGAGTCTGAATTGATCAGCAGTCGGCCATAATGGCTATGACACCATTCCGAGACGATCCCGGTTCCAACGGCAGCGGCGGCGGCAGCAGCAGGAATCAGAACAACGATTGCAAGAGCTTGGGGAGGAGTTTATTCGATGGCAGCTGCAGTTTGTTTGACAAGCCATTCGATCTGTGGGACCCTCTGGAACACATGAACTCGCTGTGGCAAGACGGTCCGATGCGCTCCCTTTTCCAGGACGTCAGAGCCATAGCCGGCACCAAAGTGGACTGGAAGGAGACGTCGGATGCTCACGTCTTCAAGGCGGATCTTCCAGGTAAGATGGCAGAGCAGCATTATCTCACACAATCCCAGCACCAAGCACGCGGGCTCCTTGCATCTTGCGCATGCTCCGGCCATGTTCTGATTGCACTGACGACGAGACTTAAGATTAGAAGACGACGCCATCCCGTGGCATATGTGCTCTGCTCATGGTGCCACTAAAATCCCTCCGGATCTTTTATCTCTGAAACCAATCTGAGGTCTTACGCGGCCGATCAATTTGACGCACAATCTCCAATCTCCAATTTCCATAGACCTTGATATAAAGGATCCACCTCCCAGTTCACGTGTTCAGTGATTGAAAATGTGCTTGAAATTATCTCGTAATGGGTGGCAAGTATGTTGGAACCTTCAGCGCATGAACTGAGGCAACTAGGTCCCGAAGCTGCATTCTCTTAATATCATGGTCTTCACATTCTAAACAAGTCAGAAATATTTTAAGTTGGAATTGTACATTTCAGATTTGCAATTGTAGGTAACTCCCAGAATCAAAATCACATTTGATCAAAATCATAAGAATTGGAACATAAGAACACTTTCATGCCAACCACAAGAAGATCGGTTATCTGAAACGGTGATCCCACATCTCTAATCCTGTCGGTTAAAGTTGGAAACAACTCAGTCACCGGTCCAATTTCATGTGAACACATATTAGAATATAAAAGACAACACGAACAGGGAATCAGACGGGACGGTAGGAGAGTTTGAAGGTAAGGCAAGGCATTGGGAAAATCGCAGAAACAATTTGTGACATATATGATTGTTCTCAGGGCTGAACAGAGACGAGGTGAAACTCACAGTCGAAGATGGTCGCATGCTGCAAATCACGGGCGAGCGCAGTAAGGAGAAAGAGGAGAAAACGGACACTTGGCACCGTGTGGAGCGCTCACAGGGCCGGTTTCTGAGGCGCTTTCAACTTCCTGAAAATGCCAACGTTGATCAGATCCAGGCCAAAGTTGAGAACGGCGTCCTCACTGTCACTGTGCCCAAAACTGACAAAGGGCACAGGCCTGTGCAGCGCCAAATCGACATCAAGTAGACTCTTACACAATCCTTCTCTTGGGCAGTTTCCAGTTTATTTTTATCGTTTTTCTAATAACGGGAGCCCAATTAATTAATTATTCAAAGAGGATGGAAATACCCCATCAAGCCGTACAGAGATGAAACAGGTTTCCACGTTATCCCTGATGGACTTCTTCCCTGCAGACCTTGAGTACCATGGTTGTCCAACGGCAAGTCAAAACGTGCAGCCATACAAATTTGTCGAGAAATTTACTTAAAGCCGTAGAGGTCTGAAAGGGATCATGGCGTGACTGACTGACTGACTGACCCACTTTTCAAACTGGTCTGAAGTACGGACCTTTGAAGCTGCGTGGCTCTGTCAGGCTTAGGTTTGAACACGTTTCATGGTAACTGAACTCTTCTGTCGAAAAAGTTATCAAGGAATGCAAGATTCAATTCTGTCGTCGATATCATTTCTCTCATCTCTTCACTACATCCCACTCCCACAAGTCTAATCAGGCACTTGACACTGATTACCATGCCGTGTTACTTCATCTTGCAAACTGTAAAGTTCCAAGCAGATAAATCGCCAGGCGGCTGTTCTAATTCAGATACGGTAGCAAGGAGAATACATGCTCAACGCTTCGAAGATTGTATTGTTTGATATGAGAGGACCTTGAAATGGCGGTGGTGTATGAGCAATTTACGTGTGCCAACAAAACTGAAGCCCTTCCTTCCCATTGCCAACCTTACCCTCGTGTCTAATTCCAGGACAAGAGATTGATACCATCCAATGTATGGACAGAAGGCATAGATAAACATACCGTGAGTTCTTACACAAAATTAAGGTTAAGGTATCGATGCCAACCCTCGTGTGAAGTGCTTGTTTTCTGATCCCCACGGTCGTCTGGTGCTGCCTTGTAAAAAAATTGGGATGAAACTTCTTTGCAGTTGAGACGTTTGATCCAGAAGAGCAACGCTAATGTTGGAACTCGATCTAGTTCCGATTCGGTAGGATTCATCGTCTGGATTCGCTTGGATCTTTCAATCTTCTGTCACTGGCGCTCGAGAGTCATTTTGCATACATTTCTTTCTGTAACCAGTCCTTTAAACGATATGAGTTTCTGCATGAAGTTCACCACGATCATCCTGAGGCTTTTCTCTGCACGCTGCCCTTAAGTATAATTTTAATCTGCGAGAAAGATGTGATATGCTAAACTCGTTCAATCCTTACAGAATGATACTTTACCTGTCCATATTTTTCTCGACGTCTAGATGTTCACTGAGGTATCTTTGAATGACTGAAGAAAACAGTTTATTGTGAGACCATATTAAGAAGCATGTGACAGACTGTTTCAACACATCCCAACACGCCGAAAACTAGTTGTAATTTCAAGCAAGCTACGTCATGTTCCTTGACACAACGTCCTACTCTTGTTATAATGTACACAATCATCTTTCATCCAGGTTACCTGTGTGGCGATGACAACGCTCATGCTATAAGTCCATACGGATTTTAAAATATTAAAATTTTTGCATGAGTTACTTCAAGTCCACATGTTCGGATTTTCGCCGACTTTCACAGAGAGGAAAGAACGTTTTCACATCCAAAGAGAATGCCATTCGAAACACAGTATATACAAAATTTATACATTATATACTAATTCTCTTACATTGCTATCAGTTCTTTATTATACATCATTATACTTATCAAGTTAAAAGATGTAGATGTAAAATAATCAAAAAAATAAATATAGGTAATTCTTCTAATATTATATCATTGATTCCTACAAAAAATAAAATGATAAATTTTTTTGATGAGTTAATTAATATTTAAAATTACCTTTTGTACAATTTTATTTCAATTTAATTGTATATTCAGTTTTAAAAATCTATGATGATTTCATTTTGTCTGTATATAAAGATATAAGTATATTTCAAACTAGACAACAACCTATTTCACTTACTTTCTTAATTTTTAATTTATTTTAGTCAATTAAATCAGTTCAGTATCATATGAAAGGATGAAATAGATGATATTATCATCTTTTGTTGTCACCCATGAATCAGCAAAGCATTTATCATCTCATTTCAAATTATTCTTTTTTTATCGCAACTGAATAATGAATTGATAAAATTATGTCCAATTTTTCCTCCTATATTCTTTCAACATTTTGAATTTAAATGAAAAGATTCATAAATATAATTATTATTTTTAACTTAATATTAATTTATTAAATTTTTCCCTTGAAACACATAAACTTGCTTGACAATGTATATTAATACAAGACATTTTACATACATTCAAAAAGTTAAGTAAAATTTGTCATTTCATTTGTATTTCTCCATATTATTTCAAATTAAAGATCAAAAATGTAATTAAACATACTCACAGACTATTTATGAAGATCCTTCCAGTCCTTGTTATTAAAAGTTAAACATTCAGTATTTGAAGACTTCAATTTGCTTTTGACTTGTTTGATTCCATAAATAAGTTTCATATTATTCGACAATGTTCAATCCGACTATCTTAATCTCCACGACTGACATATCATTCAGTCTAATCCTTGAGATAACGTTTTGTGTACTTTGAAAAACTCTATCTACTTTTCGAGATGTTTTTGTGTAGCTTAACCAATTGATTGGTCTTCTTCACTCCTATAGAAATATCTAAATAAAGATATAAAATTTTCTTTCATCTAAAATATTTTTATAAAATTATCCCTTTTTTCCAACTTTTCTATGATTGAAAATAATCATCAAACTCAAAAAGTTTTCATGTAAACCTGTTTTTTTTTTTATTATTTTCATTCAATTCACTATATCATAATCGATTCATCATTAATTTTTTAACATCAAAACATGATTTATCATTTATTTTCCATATGTAAAGATTTATCAATATTGAAGCTCTCATTACCAAATTTTCATTTTATTTTTTTACTTCATGACAAGCATGTTTTTCACCTAATCATACATTTAATTTACATGAACTTTACTGTTGCTCATTTTTAAATATCTAGTACTCACAAACAAGCAATAATCTCAATCTTATATAATAATATTTTAAAACATTTTACAGACACACTAGAATGGCGCATGATCGCTGCCCGCTTTGCCTGGATGTTGCCGAGCCGAGCCGAGCCTGCTGCGCACACACCCTGCCTGGAGCAACCCCAAGTGGCAGACGCTCCATGACGACGACCGACGACATAGCTAATCAACACACGAAGTCAAATTAAGCACAGCAAACTACAATTACTCTTTTTGATGGCTTCTTCAACACACCTTGTGCAGCAATACCCAGCAAATTTGGCACTGCAACAAAGTATTTTTGGCGACTAGTGAAAAGGAATCAGAGTCTTTTGCGAGTGAAAAGGAAACTACACTCAGCACAATGCGTACGCTGCTGTCTCTACTCATACAGAGACGATCGCCTATTGTAACCAGCATCTTGCCTGTTTCCAAACTCTGCAGCTCTAATTCTCTCCGATACTCCTTAAATATACATCAAATACAATCTCTAAATCTTCTGCAAAGCACTCCAGCAAGCTAACAACCCAGTAATGCAGCCAGCAGAATCTGAAGAGCTTCACGCAATACACAGCTCAAAGTGCCAAAAAAGGCCCAGATCCTACCTCAAATGAGCCGAAAAAAGTAGCAAAATGCAGCCCTGTCGAGTGGCGAGCAGAGTAAGGGCGACCCTGCAAACTGAATGCACATATTGCGGCCGGGCACCTCAAGAAGAAAAGCTTCGCAGTAATGAAACCAGCATAACTCTGGGAGCAAAACCTGAAGAGCTGCATGCAAGACACAGCTCAAAGTGCAAAAAAATGTTGAGATCGTACCTCAAATCAGCCAAAAAAAACGCAGCAAACTGCAGTGCAGTCGAGTGCTACCTGCTACCCTTCAAACTTCGCGAATATCTCGAGACTACACCGTGAAACCGCAAAAAAAATAAAATCCATCAAGTTAAAAAAAATTAACATTTTGAATATACTCAAGTCAGAGTTTCCAACCAACCGCTATGATACCAATTCTTAAACGTAGAATCAAGAAACATCCAAACCAAGTTGAAACACACAAGACACTCGTATAATGTGGTTTATTTTCAAATACTACGTCCACAGTTGAAACAGGCAAGAAGGTTTACCGACAACTGAAAAAAAAATCCAACCGAGTAGAAACCTTGGGGGTATATGTATACCCAACGCAAACATCAAGATTTCAATAAACTTTAATTGCTTATTTGCACTGGAAAACTCTCTCATACCAATCAACAAGGAAGTATTAACAAACTCTAATTTCATGGATAGCTTTTGACATCACATTTATGTATATAAAAGTATACAAAGTATTCAAATATTCTATTGTGTACTTTGACAAACATTGAATGTTATTCACAAAATAAAAATAAATTAGAATATAAATCAATATATAACAAAGTACAAATATTTTAAAATTCGACATAGAATTTTTCATTGTTAGAATTCAAGTTAATTTATATCATTTGAATTTGCATGTGCTTTAGAATATATTATAAATCACAAAATTTGTTAAAGTTAATTCAGGTTAAGTATTAACTTTAGTTTATAGCTAGGTGTGTCGTTAGCGTTAGGTATATATACACCCACAAGGCTTCTATTGGATAGTCATTTTTTTTGTATTCAGTTGTCAATAAACCTTTTCGCCTATTTCAGCCACGGACGTAGTTCTTGAGAGTGAACCACGTTATAGGAGTGTCTTGTGTCTTTCAATTTGACTTGAATGTTTCTTAGTTCTACGTTTAAGAAAAATTATCATACATTAAACTTCATTTAATATTATTTTATTATAAAAAAAATTTATCTAATATAATTATTATTTATTTGAATATATATATTGAACTTACATCATAAAAAATATTTCAATGACAAAAATATTCATTTTTAAAATTCAAAAATTATTGAAATTTTTATATATTTATGATAAATTGTGAATATATTTTTTTTCTCGATTATATTTTGAAAATAAGGTTCAAATTTTTTAAAATGAGAAATATATTTGTTTAAAATTAATTTATGAATAATAAATGATATATATATATTATTTTTATCAATTTCATTCAAAATGAATTAAAATAAAATTTTATGTGAATGATTATTCAATATTTTAAAAATAAAATATTAAATTTCAATATTTTTAAATGGAATAATTTAATAGATATTAAAAAATAGCTTAAAATTATTAAAAAATAGGAACACAGCAATAAATCTATTAATCATAAAAAACTATGATGAGTACTATGTGGAATATGTTATATCATTCAAGATAGTTTTATATTTCTTTTATATCTAAATATTAAATTACATAATCTAGATCTAAAAAATTAGGTATTTTTATTATATGAAATATATATTAAAGTCTCATGTAAATATAACAAATTTTTGCATATAGGTTATCATTTATCAAATTTGAAGTTATTTATTAAAAAATAATACTTTTAGTATTATCAAAGATAGTCAAAATTTCATGTTTGTGCTTTTATGTTTAATAAGGTTGTAGAGTCATTTTATAAACTTGAAATGAAGTTTTGCATATAGAAAAAGTTGTCTATGTTTAAATAAAAATTTCAACTTAAATAATTGTTGAACGAAACCAAATTTCATAGAGAGTTATTTTTATTAATTATTATAAGAACTGAATTGTATAAAGTTCTGAAACACACAATTGTTAAAATTTTGATTTAGTTTTTAATAGGTCCAAAAAACTTGAATTTACTTTGGCATATTGAAGTTTTACTCTTTCTAAGTGTTTAGTACTTCCTAGATCTATGAGTTACACTAAGAATGCAGTTAAGAGAGTATTGTTAAGATTTTAATTATTGTGCATTCTCTTTATTTATGTTTAATACTTTTGATTTGAGTGTTTTTTTTTTAAATTGTGTGTAATGATAGAGTAGAGTATGATTTCAAAAAAGTTTGAGTTTGATGTTAAGGGAATAATCATATGATGAATGAATTGCATTACATGTATGATGTAATTTCGATTTGTGCATCAAGACTTTTTTCAAATTTCTTTTCCGATTAATATCAATAGAAATAGAGGTTTAAACTTTTAATTATTTGGTTTCATAAATATTACATATTGATGTACGTAAAATCATTATTATGGTGAATGATTCGCTCTACATGGGTGATAAAATCCTGAATTTTGCATCATGAATTCAAAACACAAAACTCTTTTTGATTGATATCAAAAGTCAAAGAGATTTTCTTTTATCATTTGACGTAAAGTTTGTAAGAGTTTTATTGATCTCACAAAATATCTTAAATAAATATTTTTTATCTAAAATAAATAAATAAATTATTTTCAATAATTCATTCCTAATTAAAATATATTATTCAAAAGTTATATATTGAGTTTCAATATCATACTTATAAATAATATATAATGTTTGAATGTATGAACATAATCTAATCATATTGTATTTTAGATGAAACCATCTTATTTAGTAAAATCAATATTCCAAATCTAATCAAATTATTAAGAAATTGGTACTTATAATGATTGTTGCATAGATTGATAATGATGTCAAATGCTAACGCAAATTAAATCAACTTTGTACTTCATTCAAATTTTTTAGGTTAGAAACATTGTAAATACATTACATCCATATTCTCCTATTCTATAAGTCTTGATTGACCTACTTTCTCATTTTTACTTCTCTGAATTAGCTTTGAACAATGAAGTATATTTTGCTCTCTTGTTTGTCTATGATTGGAATATTTTATATGGAATCTAATAATATTCATTTTACCCAATGGGATTTCATCGATGGTCCACCGTCAATGATGTTCCTATAGGATTTGGAGTTTTTTTGAGTAGTAAGATGAAGTTTTAGAAATACTTCAGACTCATGATGCACGTTGCTTTCAGACCCGATTATGAACTCATGGTGCACAGTGCCCGTCGCTTTCGAACTGATTGATCGGAGTCCGGGGTTTTCCTTTCCGATCCAATCGGATTTTGGAAATGAAATGCATGTTTAGAAAGCCAGACATCTAGTAGGCCGGTCCTTGGTGATCAAAAATCTCGAGAAAGTACTTCGAATCTGATAAAATTGATTGATAGGGACAACGAACTAACAATAAAAAGTCTTTATATACAATTTGTTCTTTTGCATCTCATCTTGTCTCGTGTCTAAGCGATGTTTGATTGTTGCACCGATGCTGCAAGTGACAGTAGAATAAACGAATGAACCGAGGTAGGAAGATTGCTTATGTTTATGATTAGTCGCTGGTTGACTGATCATGAATTGGAATAAGACTGACGATGGGCTGCATGGCCGTCTAATGATGTTCCATCAGGTAAAATGAAACCCGTTGGTTCCCATCGAAAGTATTGAGGTTCCCATCAAGTAATTTGCTCTTAGTTTTATAGATCACAAAACTCTTCTATCCAATCCTTAGGAATTCATATTGTTAGAAATGTGATTCTTTATCAACATAATAATGTATTCTCATGACACAACTATAATGAAATTCTTATCACGCAACTCATCTTTAAAGTTATTGTTAAAAAGATAATACTTTTTGATTTTATACCATTTGATTTATTGTATATCTTAAAGAGCTTTAAGTGGACCAATATTGTAAAAAATGACTCATTGATTATTGTATGTATTTTTTTTAGTACTTCAAAGTTCAGGGATCTGGATTCAAAACAACAAAGCCACTTTGCGCATCACAAGGCCTGTAGGGCACTTGAAAACTAAATACTCAAAATTATACTCATCCTCCAAAAATTATGCCTCTACTTCATGTAGATTAAGAGTAGTTTGATTCAATATTACTAAACAAGAAATAAAATACATACATAAAAAAAATGAAGAAACAAACTATAGATGTGTTTAGGCTAGGTTTTTTTTAATTTCATCCTGACTTTCTATTATTTATAATTAAAAAATAATTTAATTGATCAATTTTAGGATATTTCGAAATATTTGAAATTTATCTATTAAATTTATAACAAAATTTGAGGATCCTCAATTCAAAAACCATCTTGTTTATGAGATATTTTGTAATATATTGGACTAATTATTCAATTGGAATTTATTCAAAAAAAATCAAAGATTTCATCTTTACATAGAAAATTTTTTTTTCTTAAAAAATTGTATTCTCATCATAAATTAGATTTCAAAACATGATATTTATTAAACATAATCTAATTTTTCAATCACATTTCTAAAATTTTAGATTTTTTTCATCTTGCACAATGATGAAAAAAAATCTTTATACTTGTGTATTATTTTTAAAAACTTCAAATTTTTAATGATAAAGTACATATATATATAAACGCATTTGTATTTGATACGTTGCATTTGTTAATTCATTTCAAATAATCTATTGAACGTTTTAGAGCTTTGTTCAATCAACTTAGCCCAACAATTTATCATACTCTACCTTGTATAGATTCAACTGGAAGAATGTAATGACTGAAAGCTTTCATTCATTCTCTAAAAATAAGAATAAACTTCTTGAATAAATAAAATATTGGAAGAAAAGTCAATAATGAATTATTTTCTCGCAATCATTCCAACAACATTTTTTTAATCTATGATGTGACATAACATTACACGGAACCACTCAGATTAGTAACATATAGCTTCTATTCAACATATTCAAATGATCATCTAACAAACATATGATTTAATGACATGATGTACATAAATAAACTACTATTGATAAATTTTTAATTAATTATCTTCTCTTGAATAAACTCTATGTTACTATTCGCTTACTAAAGAATTTACAGTATACTATCTAAATACTATTCATCATTTTATGGACATAGTTATAACTGGTATCATATAAATATATTTATCGTTGACATCGTTGTAAGTATTTCTTCACCATCATATCTATGATTGTATATAGTCAACGCCCTATTATATTTTTTAATATATCATCTTCCAAGTTTGATTCTAATTTTATCAATAATATGAAGATAACAAATAGCGTTGTGAAGCAATAATGTTCAAGAGTCCAATTACTAATTATATTTTCTTTTGTTTGGACGAGTGTGAAACAGTCCAAAAAAAATACTGCCCAAATTTCTCTCTTATTGCTTGACAAACCTCCTGGACTTTGCATATGAGTAACTCATTTAAATAACATACCCCCTACCGTCATTTTCTCCTCATTGAAACCAGATCCTCATCTGTGGATAAATAAGTTGAAATTCCAACTTTTCAACAAGTCACTAGGAACTTTTTGAATTATTCATGCCACAACACGAAATTGTGTTTCCCTAGGTGACAAACGTTAATGTGATCTTTCTCCTCAAATGGTTCTGAAGGTGCAAATGGCAACATGATCACTCTCCAGAAGTGATAAAATCACGATCTTCTATTATTTTTTCACATGAGACGATGACATAATACACTTGGCTTATCACACACGGCTGTAAATGGTTTGTGAGGCGAAGTGAAGCTATAATTTAAAAAAAAAGAGAATTCTCAGTACCGATTGCCCACCATCACATGCAGAACAAGAATCCATGTGATACCTTTCGGGTAAGGGATGAGGGGATAGAGTGCACTGCTCTCTATGGATGAGATTGGAAAGGGAAGAAGTGAATAAATAGGAGCCGCTGATTTTGTACTAAATCGGAGCTCACCACGAAAACCTTGTCGATTGAGCAGAAAGGACAATAATGTTCTGGAAAGTTGACGAGATGCTCGAGTTCGAACCGATTGATGCTGATTCCCTCCACTCTCGTCAGGTTCACCTCAAGCAATCACACCTGAACATTTACCAAGCATGCATTGACGATGGGGAACGCGCAATCAGCCACTCCGATGACTGCCATCCACCTGCACATTAATGCCCAATTTTTCAGTTGATATGCTGGTTAACAGTGAGCTTTTTTCTGGTAGAAGCCAAAGGTGAACTAAAATTGTCATGGATCGCTGAAAAGCCTCGAGAAGCAAAAATAGTTGAGAGTTTACTTCCATCTGTACTCCGCAGACTAAATTTAATTAAGGAAGGAGTGAGCAGCAATGGGCGGTATCTTGCTTGAGAACGCGAAATATAAGCAGCTGGCCCAATTGCAGCCATCGACTTCTGACGAGCCAGTACAAAATCCCAAGGCTCTGTGAGCTGAAGTCTCTCGTGGAAGATGCATGAGCAGTAGCACCTCCCCACAATAGTCCGTAGCCCTGCACTGTTGTTGCGATAACATACCATGACTTTCACCTTTTTGAGCGTTTGACTTCACCACACGGCTCATATTTGAGGATTACTCTTTCCTGTAGAGAGCATAACTCGCACTGTCGCGTCAAATCCTCCCCGGAGCATCTCTATCCGGGGCGTGCCCGAGCTCGTCCTGAATCTCGCTCGACGCTATCCCTCTCGCTCTCATACACGCTATGCGGGATGAGAGCCCTCTGGCACCGCACCACGTTTTCCGGCGTAGCAAGTGGCAGCTTCACGGACATTTCACCAAGCAGCCAGAGAGAAAGGTCAGAACAGAAATTGACTTTCGAGACTCCAGTATTCCCTACATTGACATATTTGCCATGGTTGGCAACATGCGGGCAAGTGACCATTTATTATCACTGCGTCAATTCCCTGTGCTTCGTTTTCAAATGCTCGTCAACGTTATGGATCGCTGTCAGATGCACTTCCTCTCCAGGCTCCTCATAATCCCCTCTACCAACCAGGTCTACGTCGATGTACAGTACTTGCATTAGGAATGCATCATTTTAATCATACTCAAGTTGCTCGTTTATTCCAAAAAGGAACGTGCTGGATTCCACAGCAGGAACCACTCCGTCTACACTCGACTGAAAACATCGCCACAACAACATGGTGGTGGTGGGTGCCTCCTGGAGCTTCTAATAGATTAGTAAGTTTTTGTGCCCTAATTTCAGCTCCAAAAATCATATAATACTTTCGAAAGCCACGCATTAGATCCACTCTGACGGAGTATGTGGTTTGACTCTCTCTCTCTCTCTCTCCCTCTCCCTCCCTCCTCGTGTTGTTTTGGCAATCTGACCGTGAGTGATAGATAAGATTCCAAGAATCTTGGAGCCAAGGCTATCAAGTGAAATGTATGAAACTCGGGAAAAACCATGTTCATCGCCAACAGACCTTGGACGGTCATTGTCACAAGTGGGAATCGGTGTAACAAGAGATTTGGGTGAGCACGAGATCGACATTTAGTTTGCAATCCATATGTCGTTTACCGAGTCCACGTGCTTTGTCAAAGAAGAAAACAAGGAAGTCGCGCTCCGTTTAGGATATGCCAGTCAGCCAGTCATACACTGGTGGACTAGAAGCTTTCAGGTTGTGTCGACGCTATTCTAAGCTTCTTCGTATTACGATTAGAAAAAGGACGCATTCTCTGGCGACTGCTGGAAATCGCAGTCTATCCATGAGTCCAGCCAGCTTCGAAAGGCTTCCAGGTACCGTATGGTGAGGGTACGAAATACCAGAGAAACGTAGAAGCAGAGGAAACTCGCGCATATACCTCCCTTTCTGCAGAAATTTATAATCAGCTCTGAAATGCATTTTGCGCAATCGGAAGAAGCTTTTGCCTCTCGGTTCTCAACATTCAGATTCGGCTCAATCTTGAGCAATCTCCGATCTTGAAGTTGTTCGCATCCCCGAGAGATCAGCAGCTACGCTCGTTTGACCAGATCGAACTTTTCCCTCCAAATGTCTACTGGTCAAAATCCACGAAGAAAATGGAATACGTCCTTCGCACACCGTTCCATTCCATCGTCCCCCCTCCCCCCTCCCCTCGACGAGCATTCGTCGATCAAAGTTCCAAATGCTCTCTCTTCCTCGCCGCGTAACGGTCCGAAAGGATGGGTGGGGGGGGGGGGGGGGAGGGTGGGGGGATTCAAAAGACGCTTGAAGGCATATCCTACTCTACAGGAAGAGTTCATTCAAAGCACCCAAACACGCGCTCGTCGATGCAGCTCGTGCGGAGTGTGACACTTGGCTGGCTGGGGCGGGGAATTCGAGCCGCGGTATCCATCCATCCCTCACTCCATCCATCCGCACTCGTCTGGAACAGCCCTATCCAGACGACCGTAGCAACGGCCACAGAACGTCCTCCCCGAGATACATCAAACGGTATTCTGTACAATACAGTCATTCGGCTCGTACTTCGAAAATCACAACTGACTTCCTTCTCGAGGAGAGCCTCGAGCTACGAACTTAGAGTAGCTCGACATATACGCCATCAACGCGTGGTCCTACTTTCGGCTCCTGTATCGTATATGTATTCGTATGTTTTCATGGATGGACTTGTTTCCATGTATGAGTCATGGATCTTTGCGTCCTTTGTGGTATTGTAAGATGCATGGTGCTCAGCTAATTCTCATTTGTGTTGACCCACTTCGTAAGTGTGAACCTAGTTTAATTTTCAATCGACCTTTGAAGCACACGAACAGAAGGATTACGATTATGAAATTTCCCAGGAATCGTCCTCTCTCCAAAACTTCTCTGAAATTTAGTCAAACGAATAGACCCATGAGACAGAATCGCAAGCTTACACTTCATGCCTCTGTTTGTTGTTCACTATGAATCATGCGACTCCTCTATAAGAAATCGATCTCAACCAACTAGAGTTTGGTGATCATTTCAACTCGATGGTCATAATGTGATCCATAGCCGACAACCATAACTGCTGGTCCCAAAGAAGAGGAAAAATTTCTGATTTTAAATTACATGAAGAAGAATATTGTTGTTCTTTTCCTCCGCCAATTCAGGTACTCCAAGTGGCAATTTATTGAAGAATAATCAACTATGCAACTCCTGGTCCGACAACTAATCCTCACATGTTCACTTGTCAATATTTTCCCCAATAAATAATATCTTAACTATATGCTTATAAGGATTGACGATGGTTTCACGTCTCTAAGAATCACTCAATTTGAGATTAGTCACCGAGATACTGGATACGCGAGTTTATTATTGAATGTCGGCTGACATTTAAGAAAGTTTGATGCATAAGGACATGATTTTGAGAACTAAAGAATGATAAATGAGCATCTTTGATCATGGACAAGGTATTATAAGGCTACATTACAAAGGTCATTCACGAATCACGACTTGATAGTTTTCCATCCTTAAATCTTTAAAGGGTACGATTCTTTGGGTTTCATCCTTTATTGACGGTATGTTCACATCTTTTGCGTATATTATTTTGTTCCAAAATATACATCACAAGTTAGCCCGGTGAAGAGTATGTGCGAAAGTGCCTGAGAGTTGACGACCCTTCTTTTCAATGATTGTCCTATTGTCAAAGGTGTACCAAATGCGACCATGAATAATTGAATTTGATGCATAAAAGCGACCTCTGGTCTGATGACGTACATTTATCCCGGGTATAATTATTTGTATAATCCGCAATGCATAAATGACAAAACCTTCCCGAGAATAAACCTTTTTCTATGCTGTCGTGAAGGTCACTTTATCAGACATGGAATTTGATAACACCGGGCGTCTCCGTACTCACTTAAGACGAGGTGAGAGCATTCAATTCAATTAAATACCGACATGCAACATATTTTGCAAACTTGAAACTCCTACAGGCAACACGTCATTTCCACATGTCACCGAATGGTGGAAAAATTATTGTTGACATCTCAATGCGACGATAAAAGTCAATTTGAGTCATGAGAATGATGCTTCTTCGACCTGTTCTCCTTATCTGAACAGATGCTGATGTGGAAACATGCTTCCACCTCGACTAGCAGAATATAATATAATAAGAAATTCACGTATTTCAGGCACAAATTTAACAGTCATGAAAGGTGATCATACGGTCCTTTAGTCATGATAATACCGTTGCTCCCTCCTTCCCGGGTCAAATAATAGGTCACTTCGTTCGTAGCCATGACTGGCCAAATTTTCTTCATGCATATGAGGTATCTTCAAAGCGATGGACAGGCTTTATCCAATTTCACCATCTAAACCTACGGTTGCAATTTAAACCAAAAACCTATGCAAAGCTTTCAAATCCCGTCGCACACACGTATATTTTAAACACAACGATTGACCTCATAGGTTATCTGCCACAAGCTCTGAAACATTCGCAGACTGCACTGGTGTGTAGATGGGAGGAGGCTTTGACTCGTAGCGAATTGCGAATGAAGGACGAATCATGAATCGCGAACAAAGACGCGTAATCTGGAGAAGAAGAAGCCTGACCCGAAAACCATGACTACCATAAAATCCTTAGGGAAACCGAGTAGTCAAGGTGCATCGACTGAAGCTATCTGACCCATAAAAATAGATAAATAGATAAATAAATAAAGAATTAAATATAGTTCGAGACTATGTATCTTCTGTGAACATGTACTAGAGTCTTCACTCTACTGCTTGCTTACCCATTTTAAACTCCGAACAGTTTGAATATTTCTCGAGATGAGACACGGAGCCGACTCTCTCTCTCGGCTGGATTAGTAATTTGTCTTGTCGTGTACAGCAGCTGATCGTGAATTGAATTTCGAAGCCGGCATGTGGACTGCTGCTGCTGAGCCCGTTTACAGTCCGTTTGGGTTAGACGTTGCAGCGGGACGTGATTACAAATCCGCCAACGAAATGCCCGCGGAACATCACACCGCTCATCGTGTTACATCACGGGCCCCAAGGACCCAAGGACCGAACGAACGTGCGGCACAAGGGTGGGTCCGGAATCCTGATTCCGGAATACGGTGCAGTACTGTACCCACCGTACCCGGCCCTCTACAGCCCTTTCCGACAAAAAGCCTTCGCAGGCTCAGAGGCTCAGAGGCTCAGAAGTTCAGCAACCCCCAGATTCCTTCCATCTCCGATCCCCGACGGTAGTACAGAGCAGTACTGGACCCGTACCGGGGCAGGGCACCCGCAAAGACGTGAAAATAATTGCGGCCGTCCGTCCTTACTTCTGTCCGTCCGTCCGAGGGAGCCTACGAAGGCACGGCGAGAACAGCCAAAGGGAGGGAGGGAGGGGGAAGCTGAGCGAAGATCGGGACAGAAGCAGTAGATCTGCAACTGCTCGTTCGAGCGATGAATGAAGGGGATTCACGTGGGGGGCCCAGGTGTCGAGAGCCGATACGCCATGGCCGCACGAGCTCCAGCCGTTTACTATTTCTCAGTGCGGAGGTCTGCGAGCTGAGAGAGAGCTGGCTGTGAGTGTAGACGCACTCCTTCCTGTGGACTGGGCTGGAGTGGAGTGGAGTGGAGCCGAGCCGAGCCACTGGACTTACTGAATCCGAGCACTCAAACTTAGCAACAGTCAGTTGCAGCAACTCCGGCTCCATCTCCAGAACGGACTGCCAAACAGGAGGGGGGTTTAAAATATGGACGAAGCGGAATCTAGCAACTGGAGAATTGAAACTCCGAGAGGATTCGATGGCTTTCAGTGGAGATCCGGCCACCGGAATGCCGGAGATGGGCGTCGTGCAAGCTACGGCGGTGGTGGTGTGGAATGGAGAGGGGAAGGGGAGGGGGAGAAAGAGGACGAAGTTTGTGGGTTGTGGTTCAGAGGAACGTAGTGTAAAGTAGAGCAGACGGAGGAGGTAGTGGATCCAGGCTGGAAATCATGTTCCTGTCCACCGACAGCTAGCTGGGGTCAATGGGGTATTGAATGCGCGACTCGTAGAACTCGTAGAACATAAGAAGAAAACGCCGTGCACTGACTAGCCAAAGTAGAGCTTAGCTGCACTTTCTCTCTCCCTCTCTCTCTCTTCTCTCTCTCTCTCGCTGTCTCTCTGTCTGTGCTGCTGCCCAGTTGCTGCTGAGCTGCAGTTCTGTTCTGAGACCCCAAGGAGAGGAGCTCTCGATCTCCTTCTCTTGCTCGCCTCGGATCTGCCGCTGTTCTAGAGGTGGTGGCGGGGAGCGGGCGGAGGCATCGTCAGAGGTGGAAGGCCGGCTGGCTGGTTGGCAAGCGAAATTATAGAAAGAGCGAAGAGGGAGGAGATTGAGCGGAGGACAGCGAGAGAGACGGGAGAGGGAGGGAGGCAGGGAGAGGGTGGGAAGATTGAGAGAGAAGGAGAGAGGGAGAGAGGGAGAGAGGGAGAGGGAGAAGACAGACAGAGTGAGGTAAAGAGGAAGGTAGCATAGAGTGGAGAGAAATAGATTGGTGTTATTATCATACGGAGAGGAAAGCGAGGAGTGGATCAGGGGAGGGAAAAAGATAGGGAGATCGATGAAGAGCAAGAATTCCAACAGCCTCCCGGCTGATATGTACTTGTTCGACTCGCCCAAGACGCTCCAGAATCCCCTGCTGCAGCACAGAGAAAACGCATCGCACCTGCATCCTTCCACTCCGGGCAAAGCCAAGATGGAGAGGAACAACCACTTCGGAGATGTGCAAAGTCGATCCTATAACTTCTTTTTCGTGCTTTGCGTGTCGCTCTTCATTCTCATGGCCGGTGCCTACATGCTCCGAGGCGAGAACAGTTCGGTGGAGAAGAAATTCAGAGATGTTAGAGAGACGGAGAATGCAATTCCTGAGATGTGGAGGAGCCAGGCCTGGCAGAAAAGTGTCCGCCAGTCGTGCCACGTGAAGCGAGACGATGGGTTCGTCGTTCTCGTCACGGGCGCCGCGGGCTTCGTGGGCTCGCATGTCGCCAAGGCTCTGAAGAAACGAGGAGATGGAGTCGTAGGCCTAGACAATTTTAACAATTACTACGATCCGTCGCTGAAGCGGGCCCGGCAGTCGCTTCTTGACAAGGCCGGAGTGTTTGTGATAGAAGGGGACATCAACGATGCCATCCTCCTCAAGGAGCTCTTCGACATGATCCCATTCACGCACGTCATGCACTTGGCAGCTCAAGCTGGCGTGCGCTACGCGCTGGAGAATCCGGGCTCGTATGTACATAGCAACATCGCAGGGCTGGTCACGCTTCTGGAGCAATGCCGCAAAGCTAACCCTCAGCCGGCCTTCGTCTGGGCCTCGTCGAGCTCAGTCTACGGATTGAACACCAAAGTGCCCTTCGCAGAGAGCGATCGGACCGACCAGCCGGCGAGTCTGTACGCTGCGACGAAGAAGGCGGGCGAGGAGTTCGTGCACACTTACAACCACATCTACGGCCTCTCGATCACAGGCCTGCGGTTTTTCACAGTGTATGGACCATACGGCCGCCCCGACATGGCCTACTTCTCATTCACTCAGAACATCCTCGCCGGTAAGCCCATCACCATCTACCAGGGCGCAGGCAAGGCCGATTTAGCTCGTGATTTCACCTTCATTGATGACATCGTCAAAGGATGTGTCGCATCCCTGGACACGGCGGAGAAGAGCACCGGCACCGGCGGCAAGAAGCGAGGTCCGGCCCAGCTGAGAACCTTCAACTTGGGCAACACGTCTCCCGTCACGGTGCCCACTCTGGTCAGCATCCTGGAGAAGCATCTGAAAGTGAAGGCCAAGAAAAATTTTGTCAAGATGCCGCGCAACGGAGACGTGCCTTTCACCCACGCCAATGTCACGCTTGCGAGGAACGAGCTGGGGTACAACCCTACCACGGACCTGACATCCGGATTGAAAAAATTCGTCAAATGGTACCAAACCTACTACGAGGTGGCCACTTCTTAGGCTTGAGCCTCGAGATGTAACTTTCACCGATTCCAGGCAACGATCTGAGCCCAGAACGCTGCTATCAATGTGCATACGGGCCTGGATGTGCAGAAAGTGAATTCTTTTCATTCATTTAGCTGTAGTGCCTCGGGGGCTGCGCCCCACTCTCAAGCTGACTACATGAGATAGGACATGTGACAGAGCATGTGAATTTTGTGCCGAAAGCGCTGGCAAGGTTCCTAATCTGCGGGTTTCCCCACTGCAATTTGTGTGTGGAAGTTTTGAAGAGTGGTAGGAAAAAGTGCGAACCCCTAGCATTACTGTATTGAGGAAAATAAGTGTGGATTAGAACATGGTCTTAGGGCTCATAGAGCTACGGATTTGTAGGGAAGGAATGATAGTCGCTTCTCTTGTACATTATCTGCATCAAAGGACGAGTAGGATTGGAACCTATTTTCGACTCTGAATTATGACTGAGGATGACCTCAAGTAAATTATACGCACTTTTTCTCTGCGATTTCTAAACTCTTGCAATTCTTGTTTGGCTATCCTAGATCACTTAGCTTGAATTTCCTAGTCCGCTCGACTTCCATTTTGGGCGCTTTGGCCTGCAGTCAGAGGGAGAAATGTCTGTTTACTGTTTCTCACTACGTCTGAATTCTGGGAAATCTCTTCCTTTCGTACTGTAGTTTGATTGTAGCATGGTCGTTAGGGCGGTGAACCTCGCGTACACAATTTAGCCTGCTGCCGAGATATCTGAGCGTCTTAGTTACCCAATTGTTGGTTCCTCTTCTTGAGTTTCTGTTGGGAAGCACTCGAATCACACGGATGGTATGTTAAGTTCGTTCCGGGACCTTTATATCATGTTCAAAGTCGTGTAGGTTGTCGACTCCTGCCTTTGTGCCGTTTATGAGCTTCATGAAGGAAGTAGAAGTTTGGTGTCTGCTCGATGCATGGAGTCAGTTCACATCTTCAGTCGCCATTGACTTTTCGTGAGTGACTACGTACAATCGGCGAGTGTCCCATAAACTCTGTACGAGCTCACATGGAGCTGGTAGTTAACATCTGTGTCTCTTCACTTGTATTCAGGAGAGTGGCGCTCGTGGCCCAATTTCGCCTCACCTACCTACAACCGCGTTCGCCCTGTGCATGATGAATCTGAGGATGCACGCGTTGCAGGATGAATCTGAGTTTCAACACTTTGAAAACTGGAACCCCAGACCTGTTGAAACGGACACAATCTGGCTTGTTGCTTGTATACCAGCGCTGTAGAATTTGAGACGACGTTCTCAGCGTTAATAGTTATTGCTCACCAGTCCCCGGCACAAACGATTCGTTGGAATAACCCCAAACCACCTCTTCCCCACGTCTGGAACGTCAGCGGGCCCTCCATTCTCGCGAACGGTGGGCATGATCTTCGTGCATCTTCGTAACGAGAGGATGCTGCCATTGCGGCAGAGGTGACTGGAGCTTTTAAATTCAAGTCGACGACTGTTGCTCCGATTCCGAAGTTGTGGGCCTGCCTCGTGCACGATTGGGACGACTTTGAAGCCTACCGACACTCTCCATGCCATGCTTCCATCTGAACGAGGTGTGAAAAAATGGCACACATGGGCCAGCCGCAACTTGGGTTTAACAGAATCTACAACAGTAGCCATTGATGAGGCCTCATGTTCCACATCTCATGACACGTCTACTGAGGATGTCAAGGGCCAACCCCAGAGCTGTCACAAGCCCTCGATAGAAAACACACTGCTGGGATCTCAGCAGGAGAATAATTGTCTGATCATGGAGTCGGAATGTTGATCTGGATATGCATTTGAGCGTGTGCCTGTCCACGTCTCACCACAAGCAATCGCCGAGCCAACGAGCTTCTGACTGTAGCCCAAACCCAAGCCCAAGCCCACCACTGCTCACAGCTTGCTGTATTTGTGCACTGGACGTTAAATCGACCCCGCACTACCATTATTGTCAGCTGCTGCCAAATTTGCAGCACCAGGGAACGGAGCCCGCAGGGCTACTGCCAGTGACAAAGATAACTCAACTTACACACAGGAACATCACAATCTTTAGCTCCCCCTCGGTTGACACGACGAAGAGTAGGAGCAAATAGACAACTGGGCCTCTGCTGCCTTACAGGGCGGCATCATCATGGACTTGCCTCACCTCTGTGTCTCGCCATGCCGCCTCGCCAGAGGAATGCCCGTTCGGACTACAGGGCCTCCTCAGCAAGCAAACTTGGACAGCCCGGCAATCTCAGTTTCGCCTCTGTGGACGGCACAGTTGAATCCGGGCACAGCCCATAAAAGCATCTACTGTGATTCTCTTTTGGCACTGACGGGCCCAACTTGCAAATTGCCGATTCGGCCGCTTTGTATCTTTTGTCATGGCTGACGCACTGTCTCGAACTAGCCCTAATGAAAGATTAAAGTCAGTGACAGGCAGAGACGGTCTCCTCTAGGCGCAAGGCAGAGCAGAGCAGCTCAGATCGATTCACTCGCCCGCAGCTCAGACGGATCTGCTCTGCTCGCCTGATTGCAGTGATTGGAGCTTGCTTGCTTATGGATCGTCTGGAGTGATGGGTACCGGTACTTGCTCGACGAACTTGCCTTGTTTCAAACAATAACCATCTGCAGGCTCGTGGTGGGGTTGAGGTGATGTCAGAAGCATAACCATTTCCTTTTATTTGGAACTCCGGGGAGTGAGATCTCATGATCAGAAACTAATACCCTGTCAAAGCCGCTACAATTGGTGGCGAAGGCGAACGGGACAATAATCGGCAACTGTCCAAGTGGAAAAGACAGACACCTTCCGGTCTTTGTAGGCTCGGAGATGGCGAGAAAAATCAAGTCAAAAGCAGGCGAGCCCTGCTCAAGAAAGCCATGCTTCTTCCATTAGATTGATCCTATGCCTTCGAATCTGGCTCAATGTCTACATGAACCTGTGGAATTGGTGATGAACGACGTCTAATTCGGCTACCTTTACACATTTATGCTGGCTTTCCCCCGCGAGAGGATTGACCAAGTCTGTCCTCTTCCACTGCCCACGGGGCCCGCCTGAGAATTGACTGCCCTCCCCATCGAGAGCTGCGAAGCAATTACTTCCAGCCAGCTAGCCTCCTTCCTTCCTCCTACCTCCCTTCAGTCACTCGTCTTCCCGTCCCATCATCTCTTCTCTTTGTCCTAGCTACGGCATCGGGGCAGAAGCTTTGCGGTGGCAAGGAAGGAAGCTGGGGCGTCGACCTACACCATTGTGGCTCGTGTGGATGGACAGAGCGAACAAACAACGGTGAGATTTCGAATTCTGGTCAGGTACATGGTTTCTCCAGCGAGCAGGAAGGGGGCAGGCCGGCAATTCTTCAGATGCTATGGGCTCGATTTGGAAATCACCAGTCAAGCAGCCACCAGGGAACGTGGAGTGACGGACACAGCGTGTCTGCTGCAGTCTGTGCAATTGGACGAAAACGTAGGACTCATCGAGAGGCGTGTCCTCTTCGATTTGCTCAGCCGATGCCGTGGGCAATAATTATAGATTCAGTCACGTGATATTCTCGACAGCGCAGTGCGCGCACTACTCGACGACTAGCCCGAGACGTAAGCGAGCGCACCAGCCCCTGCAGCACCTGCACCTGCAACAAGAAAGGTCGAGGTCGAGCTCGACATCTCGACCTCTCGGTCCTGGCATCAAAAGCATCGAAGGCTTGTTAAAAGTCGACACCTCAACGGGGAGGATGGTTTTTGAAGGATTTGTAGAGCAGGTTCGTTTCCTCTCCGAATTCGAATGTTCTCTGTACCTGATCATTCTAGCTCTGGGTGTGACACTTGTCCTGCTGCTAGTTTGTGGGATGCCTCTGTTACTGCGGGAGGATGCTCACGAGCAGAGCAGGAGGGATGGTGTTCAGGAGCCAGCCGAATCGGCTCCGGGCTTGTGGCAGAACCAGGAATGGCAGAGCAGCGTGCACCTGTCGTGTCAATTGGGTCCGAACGCGGGCGATGAGCAGCATCGGAAGATGGTGGTCATCGTCACGGGAGCGGCAGGGTTTATAGGCCTGCACGTATGTCTGGCTCTCAAGTCCAGAGGGCATGGAGTGGTGGGATTGGACAATTTCAACACGTATGCGGATTTCTCGCTCAAGCGCGATCGCCAGAAAGTGCTGTCGAAGCACGGAGTGTTCGTCATCAACGGGGACATCAACGATGCTCTGCTTCTGCGGAAGCTGTTCGACATGGTGCCCTTCACGCACGTCATGCATCTGGCCGCGCAGCCCAGCATCCGCTACGCCGCTGAGAATCCTGGCGCTTATGTGCACAGCAACATCGCCGGCTTGGTGACGCTCCTGGAGGCCAGCAGAAGAGCGAACCCTCAGCCGGCTTTCATCTGGTCCTCGTCCAGCTCCGTGTACGGGCTCAACACCAAGGTTCCCTACTCGGAAGAGGATCGATGCGATCAGCCGGCGACTCTATACGCCGCCTCGAAGAAGGCCGGCGAGGGCTTCGTGCATATTTACAATCACACTCATGGCTTGTCCACCACCACCTTGCGTTTGGGCACGGTCTACGGCCCTTGGGGCCGCCCCGATATGGCGTACTGGATTTTCACGAAGAACATTCTCCGGGGCAAGGAGATCACCATCTATGAAGGCCCCAACAATGCCGATTTGGCTCGAGACTGGACGTACATCGATGACATCGTGCAGGGATGTTTGAGAGCCATGGAAACCGCGCAGAAAAGCACCGGCAGTGGTGGCAGGAAGATGGCGCCTGCTCAATGCCGCACCTACAACCTCGGCTGCAACAATCCTGTCACCTTGCCCACATTAATCAGCATTCTCGAGCTCAACCTTCAAGTTCAGGCCAGGATCCGCACCGTGGAGCTTCCGCCCAACTGCAACTCGCCCTTCATGTATTCCAGCGTGAGCCTAGCCAGGGCCGAGCTGGGCTACGACCCCAGCACAGGTCCAGAGGTCGGTCTCAAGAAATTCGTGGACTGGTATCGGGAATACAACGGCTTACCCGAATGCAATTCCTGCCTCACGGAGTCCTCTTGCCTCCCGGAACCCTCATGACCACAGCACAGGGCCTCGGGCAATTCATTGTGTTGTCTTTTGATAAATTGATAGGGAAAGATGGCAATTTGTAGTCGATAGTGCTCCGATGTTGTTTTTTCCAGCTTTTCAGCTCGACCTTACCTTGGAGGTGATGACAAGATTCTCCTTTTGGAAACGAGAGGGGACTGACTATACAAGGGAGCTACTCAGAGACCATGTACAGCAGGTAGGAAAGGAAGTGGTTTGGATCACATGTCAAGCGCCAAAATCTGGTTGATTCAGTAGCTTTCATCTGTACGCATTGCGTCGGACCTTTCCACGATCGCTGCTGGGAAGGGTGAGCTGTAGTGATTCAACACCAGCATCCATCCGAGAAGAGAAGAGAAGCAGCTGCAATTCGGGATGACGAATCCAGTATGGAAACTCGATGGATTCTCTGTGCGCCTCGTTTTATCTACGATGAAAGGTGTCGTCTGTACGTTCATACGTGTTCTGCTGGGGTCAGGTATGGTGGAATTTGTCGATGTTGCAACTTCAAGCCGTGGAAAGGAGATCGCTCAAAAGCGAAGGGATTTTCAACATAAAGGTCACATGTCCAACAGATTCAGTCGATCATAAGCCAGAATGTGACAGTCGCCTCACAGTCCACTAAGACCTTGAGACCTTGCGATTTCGGAAGTAAGCCGATCATGTAAAACCCGTTGATTTCGATGGGGAGAAAAGGAGTTTGAAGGCCTGTTCGTGAGCTTGTTTCTTGAGCTGATTGTACGTTCAGGTGGAGTTCTCTATATAGTCGAGATATGTAGAGGAGATTACCTCCAAGCGCAGCTGCCGGACTTATAGTGAGAGTCCAAAACCTGGATGGTCCAGCAGCAGTCCGCAGAGGGCAAATGTGAAATGGAACATCGGATTAGAAGAGAGGAAAGAAGGTACATTGCTAGGGGTAAAGGAAGCAGGAAGATCTCAAAACGCAGCAGTAAAATTGTTTGCTTTCCTTCAAAGTCATATCGAGGAGCATCCGAAGAGAGCGACAACGCCTTTCGGATCGGAGAGTGCAGCCGTGCAGCTTCGAATCGTCAGTGAAGCCGGCAGCAAGCAAGTCGGACCGAAAGGATGTCCCAACTTTGCACATGTACAGCCTTTGCAGTAAAATTCGATCTTTGACTTTTTGTGCGTTTCATTTGTCATCGAAGTCCATGAACGAGCTCACCTCACCAGTTGTGTACCATCCACGGCTGCTCGTGTCTTATACCCTCTTCTCTTCTCTGTCTTTTAGCCTGAGGTGTAAAGCTGAAGCGTGTTACGGATGTCTTCAGCCCCTGTACCCCCGATCGCTTTCTTTTCTACGTAAGAACGCCGTGAAGCCAGCAAGTAAATCGAAGAGGAGCGGCTGGTGAGACAACATTGTACAGGAAAAGAGTCTCTCGATCCTTGGCTCATATATCTTCCCACACTCCTGAAGTATAGTACAAGCTAATCAGCCTGTCTCTGTCAGAGGTCCGGGAATTTACTATAGCAGACTTAAAGGGCGGATTCCATCGGGCCAAGAATGTCTGAGCTCTGCGCATGTGGACCCGAATCTTCCTGTCATGAGAGAACCCCTTTCGTGGCGGAGACAAGTGGATCGTTCACGGATTTTTGCGGTATGTAGAACGCAGTTATTGTTTGGGTGTCAACTCTAATTTGTGATGTGCAGCAACATGGGGTAAGCTAAAATTTTTGGAACATAATATTACAATGAACTCAACGAATGTGGGAACAAGGGTTTGAGGAGGTTGAGTTTCCGAAGTTGTAACAGAGTCCTGAAAATTCCATAGATTGTCATATGACAAGCTGTATGTCATATGTCATATGGTAGGTTTTTCTTACCTGTAAATAGCCCAAATTAACTGAAGTTACTTCTCAGACAGCTCAGAAAGCTTAACACACTTGGGACTTTTTTAGAATGGTCATCTTTGCCTCAGGTTATTAACTTTACCTTCATGTGGTCAAACCTTAAGTTAAATAATGCGATGTCAGATAATTTCTTACTGAGAACGCTGACAAACGAATATCCGAAAACTCAATTGAAAATTCTGTTAGGCATAGAAGTGAGTGTTAGGGTGGAAGTGTTCACTTGCTTCACGATCTTTTACTTAAATTTTGCGATCGGAACCTATACAGTTGAGCTGGTGTTAAAGCAAGCCACTGATTTGCGAGAAAGAAACTACTTGTAACCCAAGAATACTTCACTTTTGCTCTGATGAATCCAATTATCACTAAGGATATGGACGATCCATGTCTTATGCTGGTGAATGATTATTATTTGTGTGATCATGCATCCCAATCAACATCACTGGATAGACCGTATTGTGTGGCCTGTGAGGGTGAGCTTTGACATGTAACTTCTTACGCGACAGAAATTAGTTGTCAAGACTGAAGGACACTGTGGGTACGTTGGGGCTTCATACCTGTTAACAATCCAGTGCACAATTCATTCAATTGGCTTTGTAACTCTTGATTACATGTTCGTTTATTGAACCCCCAGTTTTACAATTGATGGTCTCGAGCAAGCGGATAACTTTCACTGAGCGTAGAGGGTCTGGAATCAGGGCTTTGTTTATATCTCAGCGTAAATCGCAATTCACGAACTGATAGAATGAGAACATACCAATAGAGACAAGTGTAGCTCCAAAATTGAAAGCACCAGTCGCTAAGTAATTAACATCAGGCTTACCTAAAACTAGAGAGCCCTGCATTCGATAATTACAAGAGAAGTTTCTTGTCTCGCATTTAAGTAGCTTACTGTCTGAAATGTGTTGATGGCCTATCATCCCACCCAGCGAAGCCACCAGATTGATAGGCAGGATCAATTAGTGTCCCAGAATTGAACATTTTGGAAAATCTACGTACGGATCCATCTTACATTCCTTCAGGTGGACATGGAATTATTAACCCTAGTGACGATACTGCTGCGATACATATCAAGGTTTCTGAACTTCACGTAAACTACAATTGTCGATAGAAAAGCACCGTTCGCTAAAATGCTAAGCTGGCTCATTACAAGTAATCGGCGTACATCTTTGTTTCGTTCTGGATACCCTCTAGAACACGTCTCTGGGTGGTTGGACTGCACTCAAAATGCGATTTCTCACAGCTTAATGCATAAAATCTTCTATGGAGCTCTGGAAGGTTGGCGAAGAATTTATAGAGATATTTCATCAATAATTTACTGTTAGTTTTTTGGTTGCATCTTCCCATGACGATTTGGTCTCTCGTCTTTATGGCATGTCCCGCACTACTCTCAGGTAGGAGTTGAACGAAGCCAAAGTCCGCGTTGGTGTACGACAGCTCCTTTTGATCGTTAATCGACGACCCAATGAGCTGTGTGCAATCGCGGATTTTGAGAGACAGCTATCATAGACTCCGTGTCTCTGCTGCAGTTATTCCATATTCAAACGTAAATTCAACACAACCCAGCCAAAGCATCCTGCCAGTTTGATTTGAATAGAAAGGAACAGAAATCATACTTTTACGTGACAGCGGGTAATTCTCCCTGCGATGTTATTCCCCGCCAAGGCCAAGGCCACCGAGGAAGATTATTACATCTGAGATTTGAGCAAGGAGTAGCAAGCCAGCGGTCTTCAAAATGCTTAAATGAGATATTCGCCGAAAACGAAAAGAGAGGTGTCCCCAGTCGCCACCAAGATACTAATAAGCGGGTAATTCTCCCTGCGATGTTATTCCCCGCCAAGGCCAAGGCCACCGAGGAAGATTATTACATCTGAGATTTGAGCAAGGAGTAGCAAGCCAGCGGTCTTCAAAATGCTTAAATGAGATATTCGCCGAAAACGAAAAGAGAGGTGTCCCCAGTCGCCACCAAGATACTAATAAGAATCCACTCGTGTGGTTCGGCGTTGAATAAATACGGTATATGGACAACTTTACCACAAACCGACTATTATCCTTTGCCTGAATTGTCGATCAGTCACATCGACTACTCGTACTCCAGAGACTCTGCAATCATCACCACCCTTCTGAGAATGGTGCGTTGGAAAGAAGCTCCATATGGAATGCGCTGCGGAGAGTTCCCACCAAGTTCAGGATAATGTTTGATTGCGCTGGAAAGATGAGACGAACTTATTCGAAGGTATTTGGAGCTTTGTAGAAAAGGTTGAACATTTGATTGGTTCCAGACAAAGCTTCGTCGTTCTCTGTGCAGCTGGTTCTGTGAGAGAGCTTTAAACAAAGTTAAGCTGGTATTCTGTCTACATGTAGGTTTCTCAACTGATCGTTTCTGTGAGAATCTAAAATGATGATGTGAAAAATAAAATGTGGATTCAAAACTTCCCGCAATGCCAACCCTTTCTTCCACCGCGTTATAACTTACTTTGCATTGATAAGAGGTCTTCGATGCTGGTGCAGAAGCATCGGACATATACTTTTAACTTGCACCCTAAACTCTTTCATGGAAGGCGGAACCAACCAGCAGAGGATAAGACTCCATGATCGAAGCAAGGTGCATAGACTCCATGTGGAACATCAATCCTACGAGACAGAGGATCAAATGTCTCCTGTTGAGGCGTATGAAGCAGGTTTATCGATATCAGGATCACCATCTGCATTATGAAAGATGGAAGCTCCTGTGGTGAGATTCGAATTCAAGGGCTCTAAAGTAGACAACAATAATAACTGAATCCAGCAGGATCAAACCCCGCTTGCCACCCTACCTTCGAACTTGCCATCAATTGAATTTCTGGAGCTCATAGACTAACAGTACAGAGTACCAATCGTGAAGCAAGGATCATTTGCAAGTTTTTTGGGCAATCCATCACTCGCCGCATGTCACGAGAGGCGATTTGGGATGTTCGCTGCAAATAAGATTCTGAATCTTCATCCACGATCGCACGTCACAGCCATTCTCAAAACATACAGTCATCTGCTGTGGACACTTGGCAAAGGAGAGTACTCATTTGAAGCCTTGTTTTTCAGACTTCCGTAGTCGACCTCCTTATCTGCAGATTGAATTCACAAACGCTTATAGACACATTGAATGCTGCGTGGATACCTCACGAGATCAGCCGTCAAGTTGACATTTCATTTCAGTAGATCTACTTCATTGAGCATCGCATCAACGGATTGCACGGCCAAAACCACTTCTAAATAAGCAATCACTGCACATACTTTTCCATAGGCTGGGGCATATAGATTGGGCAAAACGTTAGATGATTATGATATTTTCAGATCCATCGGTGCGAGCTCTGCTATGGTATTCACTGCACAGATTTTCCCGTGGCATTTCACTTTACACAGAATTCCACATAAAAAGGTCTAAGAGCAAGGCTGCAATGCTCTGGATGTGCGAAGAAATCTTGCAAATAGTCAGACTTTGAAGATGAGAATTCTCCCAACTTACACAAGGTCGAGAGCACACGGCGGAAAATTTACGGACTTACCAGATTGTGTCAGCAATTGTCAGGAATCGCAAGGTACATTACCTCGGTATGTATATACTTTCGGGGTATATATATCTGGTTCTGCAACGCAAAAGTTATAAATAAAAGTGGAAGATTGGATCCGGTGTCAGAGAAAAGTTGGAGCTCCACTGTTTTGCGGCTCTAAAGCAGAGCATTCTTGTGTTCTGATGCGAAAGTTGAAGCCTTTCCTCTGCACTCTTTGCGTCGAGCCTTGTGAATTTGAAGCCTTCCAGAGCCTTCGTGAATTCTATATATTTTCTTTAACGTCAGCCCGTGGAGCTCTAGGATCGATTCAGGCGTCTGTCATTGGTGTTGCATGCGGACAGATGCCGCGATTGCTTCAGTCCACTGTCAGGCCACTTCGCAACTGGTTTAATCGTCGACAGCTGAAACACCTCTTACCAAAACCTGCAGAAATTGGACAATTGTCTCCCATCGATCCATCCCCTAATACTCCAGAAATTCCATCGAGCACCAGCTGCATTCGTCGATTGCTCGAGCTCTGCCACTTCGCTCAACTGCCCGTGCACTTTTCACTGGACCAATGCTTCGCACCCTCAGGAGCTTCTGACGAAGCCACAGTCCAAAGCTGCTGGACTCTCTCTCTCTCTCGCCCGTGCGGTGTCCAAATTTAGTCAGATGTTGTAAGATCCCACGCCGCAGGCTTCGACGCCTGTCCTGCCCTATCTGGTCCAGCAAGAAAGAACGCAGTCGGTCGGTCGGTCGGCTGGCTGGCCGGCCCTTCGGTCGGCTCTCGGGGGCTCCATTGTAGCACGAGCGAGGCCTCCCTTCCTGCTTTCAGAACTGAATCTTGTCTCGGAATAATCCGTCTGGCGATGGGTGCATTCCGCGGGAGAAGTGGCCTCAGGGAATATTAATTTTCCGCAGCAGCAGCCAGCTGATTTGGATCAAAGGAATCCGGGCTGCAGTCACCGTCAAAAGCATAATATATCGATCCGGAGAGACTCAGCAGCAGCAGCATCAAAGCCTCAGAAACCATGATGCTGGTGATAATGACGGTGGCTTCCGATGGCCCGTTCGCTCCTTACAAGGAAGGACTTCTGGCCCGTGGAGGAGCAGCAGCAGCAGCAAGGAGAGGAGAGGAGCATGTAGACTCCTCCACATCTGCAGCTGCAGCTGCTGCGGGGTTTTCGACCACGTCCGCTGATTGCGTGTACTTTCTGCTTAAACAATGCACGAGACTCGAGTCCGAGCCCGAGCCCGAGCCCGAGACTGTCCGATGCGCAGTGGAAGAAAATCCAAAATAACAGCGCTTTAGATGCACACGTTGTCTTTATGCAGCTCGCCTGACATTGTTGGGCCGGAGCAATTTTACTGGGGATTTCCCCGCCGCTGCTGCTGCTGCTGCTGCTGCGGCAGGGAGGGAGGGAGGGAGGGCAGGGCAGGGCATCGACTCGGGCGCCGAAGATGTGCCCTCCCTGCGTTTCTTTCTTTCACACGGCGGCCACGAGTGCCAATAATAATAATCTTGGAGCCTCGTCGTAGGAACCGGGCGGCCTTACGACAGTGTTCAGAACAGAACAGAAAAGAACAGAGAGCTGTCTGAGAGCAGAATCCATTAAAAGCTGATTAGTGGGTGATTCGGCACCTTTAGAGTCGTCATCATGCCGAGTCCCCTCATCATCCTGGGGAATTTTCCGGGTCAGCCGGGACAGGAAGCAAGCGACTCGGGGGCCTCTGGAATCGTAGGCAGGCCTTGAAAACAGCGAGGAGAGAGAGAGAGAGAGAAAGAGAGAGAAGGGGTCACGGGCGGAGGGGAGTGATGGTCAACAGCCCAGCAGGCTCAGGCTCGCTGTACCTTACGTACCATCGAGTTCGTGGGCGTGTGTAGGAGTGAGTGAGTGAGTGAGTGAGTGAGTGAGTGAGTGAATGAATGAATGAGTGATCGAGTGATGTCCATGGCATGGTAACGAGAGCGAGGTTACTGCAACCGGATAACCATAAATTGTACTATCAATTTCGGCAGCAGCAGGTTCCTGTTCTCGGAGATTCCGCCCCTCGACCTCTCGCTCTCTCTCGCGCTCTGTGCGAGGGAGTGTGTGGATGTAACGCTGGGATTCGTGCTACAGAGTCTGTGCGGATGGTGGTGACGGGCGGGCATGGGAGAAGTCGCACATTAGGGTAGACCTGGCGGAACCGGTGATGTGTAAAGCGGTGCTTCATGTGCTCCTCCTCTCGCAGCTCGCGAATAGAAATTTCCAAGGCTGACCAGCATCGGCCAAGGTCGTGAAGTGTTCTCCACTCTGCCGTCGGGGCTCGGCTGCTGGTCAGGGTTTCCTCCCTTTTTATTCGTTCCGTCCTCGCGTGTGTGCGTGAACGAGCGAGCGAGCGAGCGAGGGCGATAGGGCGCGAGAGAGTGACTGAGAGAGATAGAGATTAGAGACAGACAGGGAGGGAGGGAGGGAGAGGAGCTCGAAGGACGGCCGCAGTAGCAGCAGGAGGAGCATCGAGGGCTGCGACTCGGGTTTGTATCGACGACGTGAGTTTTCTGCGATGAAGTTCAACAATTTTGAGGAGTTTTGGCCCTTTTACATGAACGAGCACTCGAAGCCCGCGACGCGATGGGTGCACTTCGTGGGCACGATGTCATTCAATGTTCTCGCGGTGCTGGCCATTTTCTTAGATTGGAGGATCATCTTTTTAGGTCTGCTCTTGGGTTACGGGCTCGCGTGGTGCAGCCACTTCTTTATCGAAATGAACCGGCCGGCCTCTTTCAAGCATCCTATCTGGTCCGCCATCGCCGACGAGAAGATGGTTCTTCTCATGCTCACCCGGAAGATGGATCGCGAGCTCCGACGCCTGCAGAAAAGGCCGGCTTACAATTTCGATTGAAAAGCGAGAAAACTCGATGCCATTGCTGGATAAGGCTGTAGGGCCAGCCAGTCTCGAGGGAACTGTACAGATCAGTGACAACTGAATTGTGGTGAGTGGTATATAGCGACCCTAATGGATGTCTAGGTCTGTTCGGTCCATTTTAAATATGTGCAAATCGCGGGCCTCGAGTCTGCGACTTGAATTGACAATCTCAGGAGTGCAGATGCCTTTTGCCTCCTCTTTCATATAGATCACTTGTACCTCAGTCGCATTCATAAGATGTGAACCAAAGACATGGAGGACGGCTGTGAGCGCGGTGTACAGTACATTTAGGACATTTAGTCCACTCAGTAGCACCTCCTTGCGTCAAGGCTGAGAGCCAGTTTCAAGAAGTTGGCCACTTCTCGTTCTTGTAAACACAGAAAATATGAAACGACGATATTGTCTTCTTCAGCTCACGTTCGCTCATGGCGTGTGGGACTACGATTTGTTTTATTTTCCTGAAAATTTGTGCATCGTACTCTGTAGTTCGTCAGCGTCAGTGATGATGGTCCTTCCTCCTTGTTTTCGGTCTTGCCCTACATGCTCATCACGGTGGCCATCCCTTCCATGTTCTTCAGACAGAGAGGCTCGTGTGTCGTGTTCGAGGATAGAATGTAGGAAGATCACGGCTGAAGCTTGTCCCGCAGGAAAGTGCTACGCAATTAGCTGTGCCGTCCCTTGTATGGCACTATGTTGTTTCTCCTGATTGCAGACGAGCTGATTCGTGCTCTCTTTCACTCGAGAGTCTGGCTATTGCAAGCTCTGGACTTCAGTTCATAAAGATGGAAAGTGCAATCCGAAGCACCTAGCTCTCAGTAGTCGCCTCTTCCACGAGCAACTTTTTCGGCTGCTTCTCGCCTCTGTTTTGAGACGAACAGGTTTTTCCCTTGGTTCAAGACAGGTCATCATTCGCAATCCGGATTAGAGTCTTACAGATGAAGTGACCTCGAATTGAGCTCTCTGCCATCAGATGAAGACACCGAGAGATTTTCACAGGAACGGTTTCTGCCTTCATGTGGAATCTTCTGTTGCTAGGTTACGGGTTTTGACAACAAAGTAGAGCTGCTACGTCCGGCGTTCAGTCAGCATGTACTCGACGGATTCAAGGGACGCCTGCGCGGAGGTGGATTGGAATGGAAGAACGATAATTTCTCGATAGCGTTCGCTCCATGCGCATCCATTCGTCTTGTTGCAGGGCAATCTAGTGTAGTGGAGGGGAGGAGCAGAAGAGCGTCTTTCGATTAAACCATCACTTCTTATCCGTCTAGGAGCCATAAGCAGCGACGGAAATCGATTCGATTTTGTCTGTAAGAAAAATGACATGCGGCAGTTCAGCTTGTCTGTCTTGGAATAGAATGAGCCATCGCCAGGAGGTTCTTGCCGGAGTGAAGCTTGGTTATAGCAAGCTCTCTTTCCGTCGAAGGGTTTCCTAATGGCCTGGCGAAAGCGTTTGAAGCACGTGTCCAGAAACAGGATGTTCGATGAGCAGATACCGAACCCCTGGAAAGGAGTGTAAGTCCTCGATGTCGATGATCACCACAGACGGGAAAGCATAAAGGGTCGCCCTTCTTCTACTTCACCGACTTGCTTTCTCAACCACTTGACGGCCGTGCCGAAGGACATGATCTCGAACAGCATGATCGACAGCTTCTGGAAAGACATCGATTTGCTCCTCCTCATTTGCGAACAGGTGCTTGCGAAACTGCAAGCAACGCGTGAATCCTTACGAGAACGTCCGTAAACCCATCCTCGGTCATGGACCGAAGACCATGAAATCATAACCCTGCTCGTGGAAAGGAGAGGACGTCTGTAACCTGCAGAGCCTTTTGCCTGCTCAGGAGCAACAGAAGAAATCGAAGCTGTTGCCCTGAGAGACCATCCCGTTGAGGTCCAAGAGCACAGGGGTTTGGACTGATTTGCCAGGTTACGCATGGTCCTCGGGTATGGACCGTAGACCGTGCGAATGGATGGGTTCACCAACAACACCTAGTCCTATGGTCTCGTAGCATTGTCCGATACGAATTTCAGGCAGATGGGCAGCTCGATGAATCGGATTGCGATTTTATTACTTCGCGGTCTCTCTTCATCCGCGTACATCGACAAGAATTTCCAGGCAATCATTTGCAATCAATTGCACACGCCCAGATGCTCGACAGCTGACTCTGTGAAAAGATGATGGAATGAGATCGTGGCGGTGTCCTTTCGCGAGTCCCGGAACTCACAGTTGCTTTGTCTCCCCGTTGACTGTGCAAACAGAACGGGTCACATGTTGCAAGATGATTGCAACACATTCACGAAGTACCACCAGATCAGTGCAGGCTCCTCGAAGTATGCCCCACCACATCCATTCGCTCTCCCCCGGCTGACAATTGAATCTCTACAGTAGTCGGTCTTAGGTTCACGGGCTCACAGTGTGCCCCACCAGCTTTTGTTTTTCTGTTTCCCAATCCGCCTCTCGGAGCAGTTTATCCGTGCCCACATTGATGATCTCCCTCCTGTCTGCGCCAATTGGATCCTGAGCCCCGACGTCGCCAAGAATCTTCAGATCTAGACCCGCTAGGAGCTTCGAGGTAGGAGAGAGCAAGTACCGCAGGTTTCATGGTGCAATGTATGACTTTACTGTGTATGGTATCCTAATCATCATCTCCCTCTCCCTCCTCCCCCGAGCCTTCTGCAGCAGCAGCCGCTTTCTCTCAAGGCGACCACTTTCGGACAACGAAATTCTTATTCGGGATATAAAATCTGTACTCAGGCAGACCTTGAAGGCCGAATTTGACTCCATGAAAGTTCCCCTTTGTCTCTTCCCTCGTTGAAGTGGAGAGAGGGAATTTTTTTATATGGTATCAGAATCCCTTAGCCCTTTTTCCACTGCGCCTCTCGCCACTTCTATTAAAAGTTTTTCTTCGTTGCCAGGGCAGGGCCAAAGTCCCCATCAAAATCAACAACCGTGCTCATCAAATAGTCGCTCGAAATGCACATGCAATGCAGTGTTGGACTGCCTCCTGAGATGCTCTGTAAATCATTCGATAGGACGATTGGACTGGATAAGGGTAAGGTCGCCGAGGTAGTGAGATTATGTCGAATTCTTTCCGCATGGCACAGAAGTGGATTCTTTGTCTCGGAACACCAGTCAGAGGAGAGGCTACGTCAAGGACGATGCAAGGACGAATCGCCGCAAGAATCTTCGCCTGCGGCCGATGCAGACAGAGGTCGAGGATGATGGACCGACTGACGAACGAACGTCAATGGAGTGCGAAGAAAGTCGAAAAGCGGGGAGGGAGCAGATCTCTACGATCCCGCCTAGCGCGACGTGTATCATAGTACGGCCCTGTGCACACCTGGACTTGCATGATTACGAGCGGCAGGTGCTCACAGTGCAGAAGCAGAAGCAGAAGCAGAAGGAAGCGAGAGCTGGCCTCGGGTTTCTGTCATCTGGTCTGAAGTACCGGAAGACTACGGTCCGCAAGAATTCCGAGCTCGATCGTTCGAAACGACAAAAAGTAAACGAGAGGATCCGATCCCAAAAGGGGTGGGAGGGGGAGGTGGGGGTGTTTACGTTCGCAGCTTCGGCAGCCCGTCGCACGGCACGTTCGGGGCGTCGACAACGGGCCCTCGCGGCCCCGCTTCGGAGCGTCCGCTCCGCCTCGTCTCGTCTCTCGATCGGCAGGAACTTTGCGAGGGAACCCCGCAAGCGTTCCCCTCCTTTCAAAGTTCAGAACAGCAGAACTTGCCGTTCCGAGCTCGCTTAAGAAAAGAACGAAATCGCATTCGCGCGTTCGCTTTATTTTCTTTGACTTGGCTTAATTCTTGCTGCCTCTCGAAGCATTTATACGAGAGTATTGACCCAGTTCGTCTGCCGGACTCGAATTTAAGCACGCGTCCTTCGGGGAGATGTTTACTCAGACCGTCTTGGCTTCGAGTTTTCTTTCGTCGGCGGGTGGAATCATGAGCTCTCTCTCTCTCTCTCTCGTAAGGAACTCGACGTTTGTTTTCTGCGGTTATGGAGACTGACCGACGGTCAGAGGTGGGTTCCGACGTATCCCGGTCAATGAATCAATCCGGCGGAGCGGTTTACATTTTCCACAAAATAAATGATAATGTCGTCTGTCGCGAGAGCGTTACCGGAGGGACTGGGAACTGGAGAAACATCGAAACACTCGTGTCTGCGCAAATGGATGATGAAGCCGGTTCAGCAGGTTTCCGATCCAGTCACCAAGAGGGAAGGACCGGAAGCAGAGTCGAAGGGAGGTAATACGACAAAACTGGGAGAGGGAGGGCCGATGGACAAGCTTGAATCGGGCGGGCGGGCATTCATTCATTCAGTTGCTCGAGCGCCCCTGCTTCAGAAGATAAGCACTCGCGAAGGACCCATTTCGGGGCCGGAAACGACAAACGAATTGACGTGAGTCTCAAGGCTCCGGGGCCAGGCAGAGGTGAACTTACTGAACCGGAAGGGGGGAGCGGGAGGGGGAGCGGGCACGTTCGCACTGGCAGTTTAGGTTTAGGTTAGGTTTTTGCGTGCATTGGCGCAGAGCTGGAGTAAAACTGGGGTCCGGCAGGGGACGGAGACTTTTCGGGGGCTGTGTGAGTGTCTCTGTGTCTCTGTGTGTGCGAGTGACGAAGCTTCTCCTCTTTTGTGGAGAGCGCTGGCGAGCGAGATGAGAATAGAAGAGAGATGAGAAAAGGGACCGCGGAGAAGAGAATTCAAGATTTCTTTCTTTCTCTCTGAGAGGGGGAGAGAGAGAGAGGAGAGGAGAGGAGAGAAGAAGGGTGGGGGGTGGGAGATTCCGTGCGGGAGGGGGGAGGTTCAAGAAAAGGGGAGGAGAGGAGGAGAGGAGGAGTAGGGTGACTTTATTTGTACTATACCACACAGTGGTAGAGAATCGATCGATCTGGATCCATGCGTTGTTGTCTGCTTTAAAGCAGCTGCGGTGTATTATTTGAATTTGTTTATTTTGGTGGTGCTGGTGGAATGAGAGGCATGGGTCGTGGGAAAAGATCGGGATCCTCATCAAGCTCCGGCAGTGATTTGGCACCGAGGAGAACGAAGAATGAGAAGAAAGATGATGATCGCGGCGGAGGAGCTGAGGAGGCGAGGGGGGAAGGTGGTAGTGGTGGTGGAGGAGGAGGTCAGTGGAGCTCGCAGGGAGGTGCCGGTGATCGTAAGGGAGCCGGAGCTGCCATTGGTAGTGATGATGAGGACAGTGGAAGGCGCGATGGCTACCGTCGGGGATCAGATGCTAGTAAGTCGTCTCGTGATCGCCGCGAGCAGGGTCTGAGTGAGCGACACAGAGATGGAGGAGGCAGGCAGGAGCGGGCTGGCAGGGAGTCGGAGCAGTGGAGTAGGGTTCGCTCTGAGGGTGGTTCCGAGAGGGGCAAGGAGAGGCTTGATTCGGACGCCTACGAGCGAGGACGGTATGATTCGGAGAGAGTGAGACGGGATAGGTATGACCCGGACTCGAGCAGATCAGAGCGAGAAAAACGTCAGAGGACTGATAGAGATAGAGACAGATCTGACAGAGATGGAGATGGGCGAGACCGTTCTTATTCGAGGAATGAGAGCAGCAGGGAGCGCCAACGGGGTGACCGCGATGAGAGACCACATCGTGGAAGAGATTATTCCAGGGAAGAAGATGAAGAGAGAGAATTCTCTAGACCCAGAGCTCGGGAGATTGCACGGAATGCTGAAGAGAGAGACGTTCCTTCTCGAGCCCGTGGTAAAGAACCCGCCAGGATTGAGGACAGCAGAGACCTCCTGGTGAAAAGTGGGGAGAGAGAGTCTCCAAGAAGCGTCAAGGAGTCGGAGCTCCATGTCAGAGGAGGAACCTTGGAGGAAAGTAAGGAGTCGTCAAGAGCGAGGGGCAGAGAAACTGCCGATGATGGGGAGAGGGTTCCTTCGTATGGAGGCAGGGACCGGGAGAGAGAGTCTCCTAGAAGAGGTTCTGGGTCCAAAAATGAACCAGAAAAAAGCTCAGGAAGACCACGAATGGCTGACCCGAAAGAGGAAGAGCAGCGAGATGACGATGCGGGCGAACGTGCCAGATGGCCTAGGCGCGAAAGGGAATCCTCACCTGAGGTCGGCGAGATTGAGCTCGCCAAGTCGAGAAGAAATGAATTTTCTGAGGAGAGGAGGGTGAGAGCGAGGAGGGACAATGATGTGGACAGAGCAATCGAGAGGGAAGAGGGTGTATCAGGAAGACGAGGTAAGGTCCGGAAGGAAAGAGAGCATTCTTCTGATGAGGAAGATAGATCCACTAGACGGCGCGTGGACGATGATCCACTAGTCGCAGTGGGCAGGGGCAGAGGAGTCGCGTCCGAAACTCCTGCTGGTGCATTGGCTGACGAGGACCTCTCTCTGAGTCTAGCAGTACGAACTGCGAAGGACGAGGCCGGTCGAGTGGAGTCTGTTGAAATGGCTGTCGAGAAAGTGAGGAATGTTCACAGTGAATCCTCTCCCTCTCCTACTCGCTCCAAGGCTTTGAGAGATAGGGAAAAGCCAGCGTTGCAGATCAATGTGGACAATCATCAACTGGGAAGAATTGCCAGCCCCAGCCCTAAAACTAAGCCCAACTTGCCGAGTGCAAGTGAAAGTGAAACTGGAGGCTCAGACTCTAGTCGTGGCGCGAGTCCTGCTATGAGCCTCACACCGGAGAGGGCTACATTCACGAAGCCTACTAGAGCAACTCCAGACATTCGTCGTGGTGAGCGGAGTCCTAATCCCAGTCCGCTAAGCCCTCGGAGTCGACTACCTCCTCCTGGTGCACTTGGAGCCTTGAGTCCTATCGTACCATCTAAGTTGGCCGAAGAAGGGGTACCAGGAGAGATCGTTGGTACCGGGGTTGATGATAACCTTGATGCTCCCTCTGCTTTGAATGGTGATGAGGAGATATCCAAACTCAAGCGGCATGGAGGGGATGTGAAGCCCACCGTCAATATGAATGAGGGTGAAGGTCTACTTGAGGACGGTGAGACGCTTGATCGTTGGGTTCCTGAAGATGACGGTGATGAGTTGCCGATTCTAAGCAGGTAATTCCTCCAGCTATAATGGATAATAATGGATCAACAAGTTGAGGCGAATAAGTTGTGACTTTTCGGCTTACATATAGATTATCTGCGATCACAGTGAATTGAAATCATGTTGATGCTTTATTTCATGATAAGGCTCGAATGGATGCCACCACTTACTGGACAGAGAAAATGAATCAGCCGGGGATATGGACAGTTCAATCCTCGATTTTGACTTGTGTCAGAATCCCTTCACATTCTTACAATGCAGCGTTCTCATAATGACTAAGATGAGGACCTCCAGTTCTCAGTGTCTCTTCCGACTCAGACAGCTGTCTACTTGTGCTACCAATCTACTTAGCTTAGCTCACAGATTCCCTGTTTTCATCTTTAAACCTTACCTTATTGGAATTTATCGTTGTTAAGTCTTTGTGCATCATGGGTAGTCCTCTGAAGCATTGAACGCAACTGTTCTTGTGTAGGTGTGAATTATATATTGAGTAACACTAGTTGTTTTTTCTGCCGCAGATTTTGATTCCTCTCTACTCAGAATATCAGGTTCTTGTTTGTTCTTATAGTTCCCTGTTTTAGTCAACCTATGTTTCTGTTTTGGTCCTTGAATTATGAGAACTCGGTCTTGTTGAGCGATGAAGATGCTCTCTTCACTGCAGGAAATCTGGCTACTGTCTGAATTTTCTCGTAGAGAGTGCTCTGACCATTAGATAGAACTGCCCGTATTATCTCTGTGATGCAAACTCTAGGAACTTGGGAATTTAGTGTTTCGAGAGGGAGGCCTGTAGAAGGAATGCCCAGATGGGAATCACATGGGACGTTGTGCTAGGAAACACTCTCTAGTGTTTACTGGACAACAGATACAATTGAAGACATTCTTGTAGGTCCCTCCTGACGTTCTGGTCTGTGGGGCTTTCTGTTCGGCCAATACCTTAATCTTTTCATCCAACATGTATTTTTAGAACCTTCTCCACTATAGTCTGGTTGAGATTGACCATAATGGCGAGTTTAAGGTAGTAAGATGTGAGATCATGATCCACTATCCGGAGGAGAAAGGCATATATTTAACACCGTCACAAAAGGATTAGCCGCCATGTGTTGGCATGTCGATCAACATCCTCTAGGTGCAGGTGCATGCTGGACACAGACGGCCTCTGAGCATCTTTTGTGAAGAAAGACTGTCTTGTTTGTAGACGACAGATTGTAACCCGTGGAGGTGAACCGAATAACTGACCGAAATGTTTGCGTGAACTAAAAGTATCAGAACATCTCCACTGTCTTCGTATTAAATTAAGCTGTATGTTTCTTCAAGATCCATAGTCAAGCAATTTACTTTTCAACATCATAAGCTGATACACTCGCGGTTTTCCATCTTTGTGGTTCCAAGTGTTAATATCTCCTTGGTTTTTCTCGCAGGGGAGGGAATGGGAACGCGTCACCCATGGACTATGCCAACGAGGGTCGCAACAGATCTTCCCACCGGGAGAATAGATGGAATGATAGGAGGGACTCTGGGAGGGGAGACAGAAGAACTGCGAGAGATGATTCCAACATGGGGGACAATTCTGCTCATGGAAGTGGGAGAGGGAGATACGGAGACCAGGGTAGATACGGAGGTGACGAGATGGCGACGTCCAGGGGAAGATACAATGATACGAGCAGGCAACGAAATTCTGACGACTTCGAAAGAGGAGTGCGGGGGGATAGCGAGAGAGATGGTTATCGTCGAAACGGCGAGCAAATGATGAGGAATCGGGAGCGTGGTAGAGATGCAGAACGCAAGCAAGCGGTTAATGGGGATGTAGCTGGCCCTAAACATGAAAAGCAGATTGTAACAAAGCTGGGAGAGAAGGTTGAACCGGTGGCAGAGGTCAAGAAGGTGGAAAGGGAGAGACCACAATTGCCACCGGGGAGAAGCGGGGGTGTCTACATACCTCCGTTCAAGCTTGCGCAGATGCTTAAAGAGGTCGATGATAAAAGCAGCAACGAATATCAGCGTCTGACTTGGGACGCTCTGAGAAAGTCTATCAACGGATTAGTGAATAAAGTGAACGCATCCAATCTGAAGAACATTCTACCAGAGTTGTTCTCTGAGAACCTAATTAGGGGCCGAGGGTTATTTGCTCGCTCCTGCATGAAATCCCAAATGGCTTCTCCCACTTTTACTCACGTCTTCGCCGCTCTGGTGGCTGTGGTGAATACAAAGTTCCCAGAACTGGGTGAACTTCTCCTCAAGAGAATCATTCTACAACTGCGAAGGGCTTTCAAGCGAAATGACAAGGTAGGACGATAGTCCCATAGTGCACCCATCATTGCTTATCAAGAGAATTTCCCGTTTAGTGTTCATCTTCCCTTGTAGCTCATTTTGTGGTTTTTAGCTAAGTCGTTAGGAATCTTTATTTCCTACTTTATTTTCTCCTTAATGAAGTTCAGAGTCTTCATCTATTCTATTTAGCACGAGGTTGCCTCAAGTACTATTGGCTGAGATTTGGAGACTTGTCTGAAACGTTCAGTGAACCTCTCTAGTCATGATAACCAACTAAATTTGATTTTATATCATGTGCAGCCTGTACTTTTGGCCGCAGCCAAATTTATCGCACACCTTGTGAATCAACAAGTGGCTCATGAGATACTTGCATTGGAGCTTCTCACAGTCCTTCTCGAGAATCCGACAGATGATAGTGTTGAGGTAAGTCGCTCCTCCATGCAGCTCCGTTGTGAGGATGGTGTAGACTTGGTTTCCTGTTTTCAAATATTTATGAGTAGACTCATAATTTTGACTTATTTCAGAGTTCTAATTTGCCATTTTTTACAGGTTGCTGTTGGTTTTGTCAAAGAATGTGGTGCTGTACTTCAGAACCTCTCTTCGCAAGGACTACATGGTTCGTAACTGACTGTTTCATGCTCTGAATGCCTCACATTAATTCTTACAGAGTTGAACGAATTGAACTATTTTACTGAAATCGGTATTGCGCAGGGCTTGTCTTGTCACACAGTTTACAATAATCTGTTCCAGCTAGTCAAACTTCGAATAGCTTCACACCATGAGTCTTTCGCTGTTTGATCTTGAACTGGATTTTCATTGTTTTAGCCATATTCGAGCGGTTTCGTGGAATTCTGCACGAGGGAGAGATCGACAAGCGCGTGCAGTTCATGATTGAAGGCCTTTTCGCAATTAGGAAAGCGAAATTTCAGGTGTGTTGTGCACTTTATGTTCTCGAATTGTGTTTATTGTGGACTTTCGAGGGCTTGGCTTCATCTAACGCACCGACGTATCTTCAATCCGCAGGGATTTGCTGGGGTATTACCAGAGCTTGATCTTGTGGAGGAGGAGGATCAGATTACACATGAGCTTTCGTTAGAGGATGACCTTGATGATGAGTCTTACCTTGGTAAGTTTGTGCAGTTTTTGGCAGCAAGTATTTTCTCTTCGCTCCTCTCCCAAGTAGTAAGCGTGTGCATGTTTAAGTCTGCTGATATGAGGACCGTAATTTCAGATGTTTTCAAGCCTGATCCAAATTTTGTGGAGGCTGAAAAGAAGTATGAAGCCATCAAAAGAGACATACTTGGAGATGAGTCCGAAGAGGATGCAGGTGAAGATGGAGATAAGGATGACGATGAAGAAGATTCTGACGAGGAGGATGAGGAAGACGAGGATGAACGAGAGCAAAGAATGCAGATACAGGATGAAACCGAAACAAATCTAGTTAATTTGCGTCGAACAATATACCTCACAATTATGTCCAGCGTGGATTTTGAGGAAGCTGGGCACAAACTTTTGAAAATCAAACTCGAACCTGGCCAGGAGGTAAGTTTGTGTTTGCACCGAGTCTTCTCTTCTGATTATCTGATCCTTAACTGTTGGCATGTACCCAACTCATAGCCTTAATTTATGTTTCTGGGGGGCCTGTATGTTTTGGCGAATTCTATGCATTTCAATTTATAATCTAGTGGCTGTCTTCTTGGTTGACTGGAGCTTTTGTATTGCATGGTTGTGAACAGATGGAGCTGTGCATCATGCTTCTGGAGTGTTGTAGTCAAGAACGTACATATTTGAGATACTACGGATTACTCGGGCAGCGGTTCTGCCTGATTAACCGTGTGTACCAAGAAAATTTTGATCAGTGCTTTGTTAAGCAGTATTCTATGATTCATCGGCTGGAAACCAACAAGTTACGTAACGTTGCCAAGTTTTTCGCCCATCTGCTGGGCACGGACGCTCTTCCGTGGCAAGCGCTAGCCTATATCCGACTTACAGAAGAGGACACTACTTCCTCTTCACGTATTTTCATCAAGATTCTCTTCCAGGTCAGTCCCGTCTTCTCTTACCTACCCTCTTTGAGATGTTTTGGCTTCCACCAATTTCCGAAGTGATGACTTTGATTTTATGGTGATTGCAATTAAAAACCTAATTTAGCTTTTTTCTTGATTACGAGATAAGATAAACGACGTTGTAGATGTATTACACAGTCGTGTTTAGCCTCGTCTAATATAATCTTTGGCGTATACATTGGATTCCTATTCTGGTATCTCTGTTGAATCATAGTGTCATAATTTAGGACAACTACCTAATATAAGCTTCAAGTATGGATCTTGCAGGAACTATCCGAGCATCTTGGTCTCCGCAAGCTGAACGAGAGACTTTCCGATCCTATGATGCAAGAATCGTTCGATGGAATCTTTCCAAAGGATAACCCGAAGAATACGAGATTTGCCATCAATTTCTTTACGTCTATCGGTCTGGGTGGTCTCACTGACAGCCTGCGAGAGTACCTCAAGAATATGCCTCGTCTTATCATGCAGCAGCATCCCACACTTCCTAGTGAGAGTGAGGATTCCTCATCAGAATCAGATGGAAGCGGATCAGGTACAGATTCAGATTCCAGCACCGAGTCTGATACGGTAAGCGATGACAGTAGTGACAGTGATAGCGATTCTGACGGTGAGGCCAAGAAGAGGCGAAAGAGGAAGCATAAGTGAGGGAATTGGAACGTTTTTCCCTTTAACTTAAGTATTTACATGAGGGAGGTGGTTTAATGTTTGGGAACCCACTTGGTGTAACTTACAATTATTCTCTGCTCCTGGTCAGATGAATGGGGTGTACAAGTTTGTGTAGGTTGAAATGTAAAGAAGGTTTTGGCAATTTACTCAAGTTATGATGAGATATTTTTCACTTCTCGAAGTTTCGGATGGATGCGGTGTAACGTGAATTCATCATGGCTCCTTATTTATGGAGATATTTACATTGAATGAATATGACCCAAGTTTATATGCATCTCGTTTCTTATAATTTCATATATTGGGCAAACAAATAAAAGATCAGACCAGAACGCCGTACGGATGATTGAACGAGTGAAACCAGTGAAACATGGTACCTCAGTACAGTACCTCAACGAGTGAAACCAGTCGGGAAATTGAAGATGGAGAGTTTTCAGTACATGGGATGGGCCGCCAAGAAGGACGCCGCAATTAACAAACAAACACACATACCCCAGTTGATTATCCCTGTACATTTTCCATCAATGAATGTTCAGATGATAGTCAACTGGTGGGTTGAGAATTAGATTTACTTCCCAAATCGTGGACAGTTATTTTCGTAGATCAATCATGGGTTTGTGTCAACGTGAGAGACCTACATGTTGCAACAAGAAATGCAACTGTTAAGTGGCATTAGTAAAGCCCTGAAATTTTGGCCAAGGAACAGATTTAGTTTGTCTCAGAACCTTGTCAATCATCACATTGGTAAGCTAGGTTCATGGTGAGATCATATCTAATACATTAAGAGAGGAGTTCCGTATCTGGGAATGATACATAGAAATCGAACAATTAATCGAACAAACCCTTTAAAAAATTGCTATTCCAATAGAGACAGATCGACCGAGAACTATCCTCCAATCCAAGTCATGGACATGAACGAAGGGAGAAGAGAATCGGTATCAATCTACCTTATCACGGATGGTCAAACATTGTCAAAGTTTTTTAAACGGTAGGAGTAAAGTATTTGCATCTATTTGGAGTAATACTTTTAACCACAATGCAAGAAACACTCATTGTTATTGGGCCACGTCTAAGGGAATGTAATCAACCAGTAATAGACCAAAAGAATGGTAAAACTCATCAGTTTTAAAATCCATTTGGGTTAATGTGAGGTAGGCCAAACAATGAAAAGTGTTTACCCATGCACCTATATCAGACACATGCATGCATATATATATATATATATATATATATAGCATCCAAAGAAGCATCACCTAATGTGATCAACCACCCAATTATTTGTGGAATTCTGCAAGGAGCCAACTATGCCACTAGATCAGATACAAACTGTGCTTAATAAAAGGAATCTTTATGTTTTGGAATACAGATCTTCTCTATACATCTTCATGATTTCATGTTTCAAACAATCATTGAACCATTAGAAACAGATTATGCTTGCCCAATTGAACCTATTCGATAATATCCAATTTTAATACATGTAAAATGAAATCATTTCAAAGTTCTTTTCTTTCCTTTTGTGTCATATCCAGTTTGTATTGCCTTAAGATTGTGGGTGTTCATAGATTTCTTGTAGTAATATATGATGGTTTGATATCAATTATGTAAGAATTAGCCATAATCAGGTATGATGTAATTTTAGCATTTTGATTTTTTCTGTATTCAAAACATTCTTTTTATTTGAGGTTGATATTTCTGTCAAATAAATAATACCTAATTTTATAAAAATTAATACATTGAGCACTCCCATAATAAAATGACAAACTGATCAAATCAGAATCTATCGAATTTGGAGTATGATATCGATCAAGTCTTATCAGTTTGCAAGTATTACCCCAGTCATTAAAAGGCTTTCCAAAATATTTAGAGTATGTTTCAATTGCCCTTTACTATAAATCTGAAGATTATACTTATGTTTTTGGTTTGAGCAGTAGTATGATCATCAAAATGAAGATATGAATAAATTTGATAAACAAATAAATATAGAAATATAAGATGAATTTAGTTTTTGGAAAATGGCTTGCAACATTTTTGAAAGTTACACAACATCTTATGATGATTCGCACGTCATTTAATTACAGATTTATACAATTATTCTTTCCATATATCTATATATTTTTGATGGTTTTTACAAGAAGATATTATTTTTTAATGAATGCAGATTTAAGTGTGTGTGGGATTTTTTTAAGATTGAAAATCAAGAGTAAGTCATTCTAAAATGATCTTGATAAAATATATGTACATAATGACGGTCTTATCTTTTTGGAGATATTAAATGATTTAACCTTGAATACATCAATGAAAAAATAATATAAATAGAAAAGTTCATCTTTTCTGTACTATGAAGTTGATTGTGAACTGAATATCAAATTATTTTTTTAATAAAAGTCCTTAATATCAAACTTATTTTGATTGAATTTTAACAAGAGATTTTTTCAAAAAGATCATGTGACAAGTACATATTTTATACTTTTCATGAAAATTCATTTAATTACGTTATGTAATTCTCTTTATATATAATCAAATAAATAGATGTTGCAATAGATAACTATTTTCATGTGTTTAATTATTGACCATGAGTAAAGGTTTTGTTGAATCATTCAATATTTATGGTTTATTATTCTAAGTTTCGCAACTCCAACATACATATATTATTTTTAACTTCATATATCTGAAAGAGATCACAGACTATGATTGATGTATACATATATATTTCTGTGATTGTATGTGTTTCATTTGAAAATAAATCCATTATTTGTTTAATATTTCACTCCATAATCTTCTTCAAACTAATGTTTCAATTCTCTGCTGTTTCATTTATTTTCATGCGATGCTTTCATATTTATATATTTATTTATTTATTAAAATCAAAAAACTTATTTCAGATAACTTGTATCAAAATGAATTTCTAAATTAAGCTTTCAAAAGAAAGTCCAGGATATTTTCTCTATTCGGACTTTCAAAGTTTTTGAACAAGTCTTAATATATGTCTAACATGTGACGTTACATCTTACAAATTGAATGTATATGGTTGCACGTTTTGAGAATTGACGTCTGCAAAAACATTCTCCGCATATCCATCTATGTATAATCCAGCAACCTACAATTTGATGTGACAACAAATCTCAAATTTTATCGTACTCATTAGTGAGGAAGAGTACGATACCCTTTGTTTCCGATCTTTTAGTTCACTTGCTCTAAATCTCTATAGCAGATTTGACTTCCATGATGACATGCATTCGGTTCACATAGGTTGTAAAGCAGATCCAGTTAATTTTGAAAAATATAACAAACTACAGAGAATTCTTTTTTTTTTCATTTAGAAATAAGAAGAAATTTCATAATCCTCAATATATTTAAGCCCACTACATATTCACTAAGATAATTCTTGCTGAAGTCGTTGTGGTTTTTTATGCATTATTGATTGTCAGATTATGATAAAAAAGTTTATGTCCCCTTTGAAGTTTGTGTATGATGATTCAGATGTTCAGATGATTGAATTTTTTTGGCAGTTAATTGAAGTCTACAATTCCAATCCGACAAAGATATCAGTCTCGAAGACATTCTGGATGTTTTCCTTTATACATGAACCGCCGTACCATACACTCCCAAAGCCCGTTATTGAGCGTATCCCCACTACCCCCCGACTACTGCACCCACCCTCCAAACCCCCAACGTCTGACCCGAATTGGTCAACCTGTATTTCTATATGCCGACAACTGAATGGGATGCAAACCACTGACAACAGAGGATTGGCCATGCACAAAGTTGTCTGCAATATTCTGTGCTTTCTCATGTGAAAATGAAGATCTTCGAAAGAAATATATTGTAAGGTTTAATGAGTTTATGCATTCATCTATTCTCCAGTCTTGACTTATTGAAAAGAGGTGATTCATCGATGTCATGGCCTCAGTGTCTGTAACCTGAAAATCTGCCCCATTCTGAAAGACCTACGAACTCTATGTGCTCTGGCATGTCTAACAAGGTGGTAGATTATAGCACTCCAGTATGAAAATGATATCTTCACAAGAAAGCAACATGTTTCCAATCCACATGCAGTATGAGAAATGATGATACGCTTGGCATTCCAGACAAATTAATGAGCTATTATTTTGACTTCTCCCACATGCTTACCAAACTGACGACAGTCAAGTTTAGTAGCTCAATGTACGGTACATTTTCCGTCTGTATACAAGTACGATCTGTTGAAGCACACCTTACAATTGGTAGTTACCGCCATCGTATGGCTTATAACACTTACCAGAAAGTTTAACAACATCCGATATGAGAACTTTCCAAGTTTTAATCCTACAGGAGAAAAATGTCGTTTCCATCGGGACTGCATTGTGTTTTATATATCAATATGCTGATCCACTTGAGTGCAAAACTATGTGTTTGAAACAGATCCACTCACAGTTAACATGGTCATGAGGTCAAGGGAGTGGCATGTTAATGAATCCCAATAGAACAGTCTATGTCCCATCATTTTGTCCCTGGTACAGCCTCAAGAATTATCATTACGACATTTGAAAGAACATTAAATGTCGATTGGGCCTTATGTCCTTGAGTATCTTTGCCCCTGCGGACCTTGAGTTTTCACACTTGGTTTCTTTTAATTGAAATTGTTATGCTTTCAGTCCCAAAGATAGATGCTAGAACCAGGAAGCTCAAAATGGAACACCAGCTAGAAGTCAACACATTCCTGAGGAGCTGATAACAGGATGCTCCTTTCTATCAATCGATCAATCCCATATATACTACCAGAAGGTAAGATCACCATCTAACAATTCTGGGTTTCATCATTCTAAAGCGTATTCTCGCCAGGAATTTTAGTCTTTATGAAGACGCATGTATCTGTAAGCTTAACATCATAGATAGATATTGAATTGAGACAAGCGTGAGCTCAAAAAACTCAAAGGTACATGTTGTGCTGGATTGTCGATTTCTGGGAGAAATGATTTGTGGAAACCCAACTGTCAACTCAAGTATTTTAAGCTGGTGTAATAAAAACTCTTAGTAATGTCTTTTGTGCCTGAAACTGTTCAAAAGGTTAACGCCACGTACTTGTTTCAGCAAGAAGTGCATGTTTGTTCACAAAAAATGAAGACATAATTTTCTTCTATAACCTAAGTATATTCTAAGATGTACAACAGTTACAAATTGTAATACGCAGCTATTCTCCCATTTTTTGAATTTATACTATAGAAACAAGCATGAGCTCGCGTACTAGAGGTTTCGTTCTAAAGTGCTTGGAATTTCAGGAATGAATTTTCATTTCTGCTGCAAATAATCAAGATGTATGATTAACACAAATGAATGTTGCTTCTTAGTTGTCACCTGATAGCTTTCACCGCAAATGTATGCCTCTTTATTTACTGTACTGTCTGTTGTTGACACAAGCAAGCGGCAAGCTGACAAAAACTTTAGATGATAGTATTGCTGCGAATATCCTTAAAGTTCTCTCTTCCAAGTTAGTGATATATTTGACAAAACAATTCCGTCATTCTTGTACAATGCGCAAGTTTCGTTCCATCGCAATTTATACATCTATTTACCTCACCATAGACTAGACTCTAGATTTGAAACGTAAGCTTTGTTATATGCGTTTTAAGAATTAATTTTCAGTTATATATGTGATGTCTGAACTCAGTTTTTCATGTGTCTCAGTATATCTTCCGTTGGTTACTGGATTTATGTTTAGATGTTATCCTAGTCTTATGACATGCCTTACAAAAAATACAGAATAGATGACTTCGTGAGGAAGGTAAAGTGCTTATAACAACCGCTCTCTCCCTATATGAGAAGTCCCGAAGCATGTGAAGGCATCAAATTCATCTCTACTAACACGTTAGATATGAAAATTTTATACACATATTCATAGAATATATTATTAATTAAATATTTTTTTATAAATAATCGGGTCACATGGATATAAGTAGATACGGATAAAATATAAAAATCGATGCCACAATTGTAAAAAAGTATGATCTTCTTGGCCACGGCTTTTGAAGGAGGTCTCTGATATTTACTAAATACCAGAGTTCTAGCAAGTCTTCCATGTCCTTGAGATTTCAACTTGCTCACATTAAAAAAGTCTATTAAGATTTGAAGTTGCAGAGTTTCTCCGGATTACGGTCGGGTCTAGACAATACATGGAAGCGCGTATGCCCAAACGTTTAGATTACGTAAATCATGACATCGTACACAAACGTAACAAATCAGAACGTACAGATTATCCTCGGACGCGGATGCGGAAAGTGCCGTGCCTGCAAATTTAACATCGGTGCACTTGGGGGCGGAACTGGGAAGATACAAGTTGCCGAACAGTTGGGATTGTGCCTTATCGCATTACAAGACACACGAAGCATGGACGAGGAATGAGGAATGGGGAGGAATCGAGCCCCGGCCATCAAAGGATGTATCATTACGCGAGCGATCATGATGCGGTGCCAAGGATAGACGGAGAATCCATCCGTATGGGCAGGCGCAATCGGGAGGACGTGGTTGTTAGGCCGAGGAAGAACGTGGTAGAAAGCTCGTGGGCGAGAAACAGAAAGACAATGCTCGGATCGTCGTACTTCTACGCAGTACCGCCGCGATCCCGAATGAAGAGCCCCGACGGTACACCGAAGGTGCCAAGGTGCCGGCCTACCACGACTCCGTCCGTCGCAGTGTATAAGCGTACGTGGTTCCTTCCTTCCTTCCTTCCTTCCTTCCTTTCATTCGGTTATACTTGTTACTCCATAACCTCCCGAACGGGGTCTCGTAACGCCGCACGGAGGTCGACCATCATACAGACCATGTACATCCATCATTCATGAGCCCCGACTGCATGACATGCGGTCGAGGCCATGGCATGCGGCATGATGGGATGGCCCGGCGAGCGACGCCGGAATCCCGGCGCTCGGCCTCCGTCAGGCTTCTCGGCGCGGGACGTCACTCTCTGTTACAAGAACGCAAGTCAACCTGTGCCGGGCAGCCACCTGTGCCGGATTATCATTGACATGGTACTTACGAGGATGAATGCGGAACTGAGAGCATGAAGCATGTGCTGCCCTGCCAGTCCACGTGGCCTGCCACTTACTAATGCGCTGCGCTCGTCGTCTCACACCCTTTGCATTGCGCGCCCCCCTGGCCCTTATTAATAATCACCCCTGGGGCCTGGCTCGCCCTTCGGCTGCCCTGCGCAGTTGCCCCGAGTTCCCCCGTTGGCCTCCCTGCGCCCCCAGGTATCACGGGACGGACGGTCGTACGATGGTGGTCCTCGGGCGCATAAGTTTGCAGCTCCATCGCCCCAGCTCATTCTCTTCGGTGCTCGCGCTCGCGTCCAGCCAGCTCGATTGAGCTCGAAAGCTCACCGCCCTCCTCGATGAAGAGGCACTGGCCGCGGCTTGAGCTCGGCAGAGGATCGGAGCCCGTGGATCTATCTGAAAGCTGATCTTCTCTCTCACGCTGCTCCCCCCTGCTCCTCCTCCGCCGTTGCTTTCAAGGTTTTTGCCGAGTGCACGAGGGTTTAGAGTCCTAGGCCGGAGCGAGCCGGAACGTCGAGTATAACCTGCATGCTTCAAGATTAACACTTCTTTGGCGTGATACGAATCTAAAGAATCGTGGGCAAAAATTGTACTCGTACGTAGCACCTCGGGCTTAGATTTTGTGCGCCGGGAAGGTTGACAGTGTGCTCACTCGAATCCAGTCCACTGTCTTTAAAGCCAAGAAAAAAAGTCATCGGCAAGGCGCTTCCGAATTGTCCAGTTTAAAAGTGAGGCCCCAAAGCTCCGGAGCAGTTCTTGCTGCTGCGCTCCTCCTCTCCTCCTCCTGCCCCTTAGACTCAAGCTGAAGAAGAAGCCTCAACACTCGAGTGTAATCGCGAAGCCAAACCAAAATGCCTCGACACGCTTGCTGCGCCAAGCAGAAGCTTAAAAAGGGATTGTGGTCTCCCGACGAGGACGAGAAGCTCGTCCGCTACATCAGGGCCCATGGGCATGGCTGCTGGAGCGCCGTCCCCAAATTTGCCGGTGGGGGCTCATTCCATGCACGCCAGCGGCTATAATTGTTAACGTGCATGAACTTCGTAATTCTGATTGCGAATGCCAACGATGGGCCCGCAAAAACTGTCATCTGCTAACTCCATGGCGCGCGTGTGTTTGTGCCGATACGCTTGCAGGCCTCTCGCGATGTGGCAAGAGCTGCAGACTCAGGTGGATCAATTATCTGCGCCCGGATCTGAAGAGGGGAGCCTTTTCCCAAGAGGAAGAAAAAACTATCATCGAGCTCCATGCTGTCCTCGGAAACAGGTTCGTGTTTCCTCCTCCCTCCTCTATCGTTCCTCCGAATTCCGACCTGCTGGAAACGTTGAAAATTTTGGACTGCTTTGATTCCTTGCTGGATGTCCAGTTTTATTTGTGCTCGGCTTCTTTCATAATTTTTTATTGTTGGCTATTTCATGCTTCCATGCACAGATGGATTTAGCTGGAAAATTGCGGAGTGTATTGGAAGTTCCTTTGCCTTAGATCGTAGTCAGTCGTCTGTCTTCCTTGAGGTTTTTGTTTGTGAACTGGGATTGTCCTCATGGAACTCAATGCAGTGTATCTTGGCCGGTTGCAGGTGGTCTCAGATCGCCACGCACTTGCCTGGTCGAACAGACAATGAGATAAAAAATTATTGGAATTCCTGCATAAAGAAGAAATTCAGACAGCAAGGAATTGACCCGACCAACCATGGGCCGACTCATCTTCACCCGCACCAGCAAAACCGCAATTGCCGCAACATGGCCTTCAAGTCCCAAGCCGGTAGACACAATTCCGCAGGGACTTACAATTCTCTGGATAGAGAATCCTCAGGAGAATACTCGACGTTAACTAGCGATCAAACCCATTCGAAGCTGGGCACGCAGTCTCGACCTTGGCCGGTGATCTCACGAATCTACCCGTCAATGGGTGCCACAAGCTTGAAGAGTTGTAATTCTACTCCGAACTTGGATCACACCAACAACAACTTGAATCCTGTGTCTATGGAGAATTATCACATGTTCCTGCAGAATGTTCTTCAGAGGAATGGCCAACTCCTTGAGAACATTGTGAACCCAGGAGCTGCGATGGGGCGTCCGAACTATGGAAATTCGAATCCATTTATATCATCGAATTCCGGATCAAGCTCCGAGTTCTATGACCCTCATGTTACCCCTAGCGTTCCTGAGGAGCCAGCACCCTTGACTTCAATTCCACCAGCCTACAACCCAATGTACTGGGCTCCGTCATCCAATGGGTGTTTGAGTTCGACCAAATCCACACTTTCGGCGGGTTCAGAGTTTTCGACGACGGGTTTTGGAGAGAGCACTCTCATGGTGAACTCGGGAGGAGGTGCCTCAGATTCTTTCAATACAACGCGTCCACCTTCAATCAGCAGTCTTTACGGCGAAGATCTTTCATTGGGAGCCATTGTGGCGGCTGCCAACAAGAGCACACTTACCGGCTCCTTTCCCTCCAGCGACGCATCCCAAGATTGTCTTTCACCTGGGGATGCCAAGGTTGCTGCTGCTTTGGAGTGCCCACGCGGTAAGGTCAGTGAGCCGCTGTCTCCCATCGAGCTCATGAATGGGGCACAGATCTTTCCATCAAGCAATGGCTACTGTGGAATTGAAGATGGTGGAACTCCAGAAGAAAGTACAGGTACAAATTCAGTTCCTCCCATTGACAGTGACAGTATACTGGAGATTACAAATTGGGGTGATTTGCCTGAGATCAGTGTTCTGGATGTATGCGATCCAGTTGTGTCTGCTGGTTCTGGAGTGGCAGTGGATATTGATCAAGATCTTGTGTTGGCTATTGAGGAGGGAGCAGTTGGGGACCAGACTGCTGAGATCCCGAATGTGGCAGCGAAGTTGTCTCTTTTCGAAATGCTCACTGATTTCGGTGAGGTCTCTAAGGCATACAAGAATTCGAACCGCAACCATTCGCAGGACACCGTTTGGAAGAGTGAGGCACCTCTCTTTAGGAGAGACCACACGCCTGCATTTTGGCAGGCGACTGCAACTGGAAACTGTGTCTAAGGATTAGATAGAAATCACAGATGCCATGTCTGAAGGGAGTTTTTCCAATGATCGGTGACATCTAAATGGTTTTCATGATGGTAGCACGAGTAACGCTTATCCAACATTGCTCTCAAGTGGTTAGCCATGTGGATGATGAGGGAGTGACGAGTGATTTTTCAATACATGGACCGTTCTTGGTACCCTGCAAATGTACTTATCTATATACTTCATCCTCGGGGTATCTCCTTCGAATAGTTCTAGGCACTAGTTAGACATTGCGGTTGCTCCCATCTTGTCATCACTGCCTGATGGCTTAGTTAGGAAATAACACTCGGACTTTCTTTTGTACATAGTTATGGAGTCTCTTCATTTAGCTTACCAGCTGTATATACATTGACGAGTTCCTACCATGAAACCAAAAATTCCATGGATTTCATCCCTTCAGCGGAAATGACAACAACAACTTCTTTTGAGTAATAGGCAAAAAGATTTTCAATTGCAAAGTAACTTTTCTCTTTCTCTCTCTTTTATATTCCTGAAGGGAAGAATCGGGCATATACAACACAGCCGCTACTGCATGGACTTAGAATGTGTAGAGATTGTTCCACGAAAGGGAAAGGGATTATACGATTTCCTTGTAAGATCGTATGAGATTTCGACTTTATTTTGGGAAGTGGGACTGGGACCGAAAGCTCAACAAGTCCACGGGCGAAGAAAATGGAGACTTGGGTGTGAGAAGTATGTACTAGTGGCGAAAATCTGCGCACTAGATTTCGTTCAAGATCAAGACAGCAGAAGTAAATATCGCCTGATTCCAGGATGTGATCTAAAAATATGTTCACGGCCTTCTCTTTTCAAGCCCGGCACCAGCAACCCAAGGCATTTCCAAATAGTCCTGAGAGGACGCATAGGACTGGTACCGTTACCGGTGCTGAGCTCGCAGGCCAAGGCATAACTTCTGGACCTAGTACACAACTGGCACTCGAACTTCAAACTGATGAACTCACATCTACACGTCATGCTACCTCACACCAATCACCAGGTTTGCACTGTGTACTTAGACTCGAGAGATGCCCGCTTGAAGGCAGGACGTTAACATGCAACAGCACCTAGGCTACTTACTTGCTTCCCAGGGTTTGGATTCGTGACATGAAAGAGGAGACCCGTACGATCAGATGGTTTTCATTCGCAGAAACTCGTATTCTTACTCATGACCGTCTACTCCTCAGCCTCAAACAGCTTCACGAACTTAACAAGCCTCTAAAACACACCCACAAAGCTTACACTGAATACTTCAGCCGCCGAATCGTGCTCAAGTTCCACCACTCTTTTGAGGAGACTTCGATTCTTTGTTATTCGTTATTGACTAGAAAACTTGACACGTACATTCGAATCGTTGCGGTTGTCAGATCAAATCATCAAATATAAATTCAGACAATGCCTTGATCCAAACGACCTGAACTTTTCAAACTCCGTTCATATTTCCTTCTTTCGATAGCTTTTGTCAGGCATATATCCCACCTGGAGCTTTATGGGGTGTAGAGGCCTTTGAGTCGATGAAAGTAGAATCTTTAGTGAAAGTAACTCGTGAATGTTAAGGCAATCGATCTGTCAACGATTGGAGAGACTCGGCCAAATTGGAGGCAGTTAAATAGGATGAGAAGGAGCGTAAGCCCCGACGAAGGAGGAATTGCTTTGGGTCTGGGGGCCAAGGAGACTGTTCTCCCAGGGAGGGCAAAGTTTGCAAATCGATCCGGATTCCGGGAGGATCGCATTCGTTGGGGACGGACGTCAACTTCCTGGAATCATGGCCCGTGAGAGCGGTCGTCCAGACGAAAGGAAGATGGCCCTCGGACGCATGACCTTTTCCGGGACGAAACATAGAATCCTGGCGAGCTTTAACTGCGGAGCCGACAAATACTTTTGGGTGTCCGACATTCGTCGCCAACACTCCTTCCGTATGGATACCGCGGTCCCGTCGGCAACAGAAGAGCAGATTGCAGAGCAAAGCAGAGGAGAGCAGAACAGATGCCCATTCGTCGTACCGGTCCGATCAGAGCTCGATCAAAAGGCGAGCAGAAGGCCAGAGACGACCTTCCGCGTAGCAAAGACGACGTGATGGAGTCATTTATTGTAACAAAGGTGATGGACAGAGATGGAATAGCAACCCGCCCAAAACCGCCTCGTCAAATAAAGTCGATTTCCTTCATTCCGTAGCTGGGCAGAGCGCACGCAGAGGGGGCTTGCGTCCATCATCTTGATGTCTGCAGACACGCGGGCGAGTCCGCAGACATGCGGCCTTTGCAAATACCCACCCCAGCCGTCCACACTGCAACAGCTACATGAGCTGTTCCTGTCCAGTCCGATCCAGTCCAGTCCATATCGAAAGTGAGTATTGGACAGTGAGTTATGGGGACCTGGTAAGAAGCGTTTAGACCTCAATTGTGCTGAAAGTGCTACGGTCAAGACCCGCAAGAAGAAGATGGTCCGCAGCATAGCTGTCTCTCTTGAGCTTGTCCCGGGCGGGAGATTGCAGTTCATCAGGGTAATTCAGATTCACCACACAGTTCATGATCGCTCACATGGAAGGCCATAGCTGCTGATGAGCATGAGCATGACCAGGAGAATCCGATTAGATATGCTTGCCCTTAGAGCCCAGAAGATGTTCACAAGATGATCAGTTCCTCTGCTCTCCTCGTACTAAGTCTGATCCACGCAAAGCGTACTTATATGGAACCGTATAGATAAATATATATGCAACCACGCGTTCTTGCTGTCCGATGATCATGAGGACGGAGACCCTTTCTATGATCCAACTGGTTCAGAGATAAGCCAATTGGCTGTCAAATGGAGATAAGAAAATGCAAAATTACATTCCAGAAATATTTTATCTTCTTTGTGATGGCAGCGAGAGATAATAATGGATAAAATCTGAAGAAGAAGATTTTCTTTCGCAGCAAATTGGCTCCGATGGGAGTCTGACACTTCATCTACTACAGCAACATCCGTCACATTATCTCGATGACGGAAAATCAGACTTGGGTTCTAGGAACTGGGACACAGGCGATCACCAACGTATTAGCTGATAGGTACAGCGATAAGCACAATTCTCCTCTTACGGACTGAATGCGCAGATCACGATGCAAGGGGAATCAGTGGCGTCCAGTCCAGACAAGAATGGTGGTATCAGCTCACTATCTTAATGTACATGTCACTCGATATCCATGGTTCATAACCAATCAATCTAAACTGGGATGGAGTCCTCAAATGTTTTGTCTCCTCTGTAGTTCACTGTAGTGATCCTTAGCATTTGGATATCTAAGAATTTCGCTCTGACTATGTGAATCTAATCTACCTACGAATTTTGCTCAAAAGGCATAGGACCATTCTAAAATATTAATAAGGACAGCAAGATATGAAAGCAGATAAAGAGCTGCATTTCAATATACTGGAATAATTAGTTTACATGAGGTTTCTACAAAGCTGATTGTGTACTTGCCTTGTAGTTACCAACTTGAAACAACAGCCTGTTATGGTATTTACCCATGTTCATCTATGCAGTCAGAGTTTCTTCTGGTTTTTTGTCAAGAAAAGAACGATATCTATGTGCTCCTCGAACTACTCTGGTCTATGTTTTTCTCTAGTATCATTACCTTCTGTCCAACGGAACAACAACCAAATACCTGTATTGTTTATATCTGCTATGGGAGTAAAATGTTTTCATCTTATGAAAGTAGTATGTAGCTTGTACTTTTTAGTCTAGAACAATGTTCAGTTAAAAACCCCAGGACATCATTGGTGTCAACAATTTTTATCTCTTTCTTGTGTGGTAGTAGTACAAGGGCTCTAACCAGTGGCTGAGCTTAAGGTGGGGCGGACGCCCCCTCCAAGCCCAGGAAGGGTAGTTTATATTAGTCGCTCAATGTATTAGCCATTTAAATGCCAACAAAATTTTCTCCTGCGGAGCTACAAAAATATCTCGCGTGGAGCCCCAACCCCCCACCCCCCCTCCTCCCCTCCTCAATACCATCTATTGTTAACTAATTAGATACATATAAAATTTGATAAATCATCATTTATCCTACAATTTTTTTAAACTTAACTCCTTTCTAATTATATGCCCGATCTTTAAAATCTCTTTCTTTATCATCGTTTCTAACACATACTGGAATTCACATAAATTTTATTGTCGTACTCGTAATAAAAGAGGTTTTAATGTGGAAATACGATAGATGCTTGTTGAAATCTTTTCAAGCATAGAGAATTAATTTTTCTAAACTAAGATTTGATATTCAATTTATTCCTACATCTATTTTCAATGTTATTGTACTTTTCCGTGTATTCACCAGCTCTTGAACAAGGAAAATTCAGAAAGGCAGACGATGACTTTGTTGATGGGTATTTTGAATTGGAAATTTCTTTTGCAGAAATATAAAACCGTCGCATTTGAGTCATACAATTATTTAAAAATTTTATATGCTATATATATGAAAGTTTAAATATCTAAAATAAATAAACGGAAATATAAGATATCAAATCAAGGTAATGAATTTTGATTTAAGACATGATTTTGAACCTGAAAAGTGAAGAAAACACAAAAATTCGGATTTATCATTTGAGAAAATTGTTGATAAATACAGTTGAATTCCTGAGCATAAATTTTGTTAGAAAGGGATATTTTTGGGTGAATAAAGTTTCTTTCTAAAAAAAAAATAGCAATATTCCAAAATCTTGAACAGATCAACATGTTAATGTTTTAGAGATCTTTTAATTTGTTTTTGAACCACTAATATGGTAATGAAATTTAGATCCACAAAATTATTCTGATGTATGAAAGATATATTCATTGACTAATAAATCTACATACTTTCTACATCTCAAAATATCTCTTGTAACTAGGTTTTATACTTAATGATGAAACAGTTTCGCTAAACAGAATCAAATGATAGATTATTCTTACGCATGAAATGTAACTTGGGTTTCCATACTTTGCTTGTTGGTATATACTGGCCAACGTAGTATCAATAAGTCTATAGCTTAATCGAAAAATAAATAGAAGATTCACTAGTGATTCATTGAAAGAAAATACGTAAAAAACAGTTCAATTTTTTTGTGGTATTTGAGAGCACATATTATTTTTTCGTAAGATTAGCTATTTCGCATATGTTTTCATCACGACTTGAAATTTCATGTCTTTTATAGTTTTTGTTAATTCAAAATATTTCCTTTACTATAATTTTGATTACTTATAGTGAATTCTACATCTTAAAAATGAACAAAAAATTTACTAGAATCTTTCAAAATTGAAGATATTGAAAAGAAATTTGTAACAAAAATCTGATCACTTTTTTTTTATTTTAAGTATCATTCAATGTCAGTGTAAATTTATTTTAACTACAATTGAAAATGCATAGTGGATTTATAGGAAAATTTTAATACTCCTAAAAATAGTGTTAGACATCCCTTTATTTACGTGAAGTTTTCATTTTATAACTTGGTATTTTAAATCTTTCTAAAGGCCATAGTTTTAAGTAGTTTTCAATTAATAGCAAGAGATTCATAAATCTTTTGAAGATATAGAAGGAGAAGATATTTTTTAACTTAAATTTTCAATAAATTAAATTCTTATAACCTAAACGTTAAAATCATTGGCTTAATAAACCCTGCAACTTGTAATCGTTTAATGGGTTTAAAAAAAATTTCAAATCTTTATACCTTCAACAAAAATCAATTTCAGATATTTTGAAAGAATTAACTTAAAACTTAAAACCAAAGTGCGCATACTTTTATATTTTTGCTTGGAATTAAGCTTCTGAATTTTGAAATCTGTAGTATGAGGAAAAATTGTTATGGGCGAACTTGTCAAAATCTGAAATATATATATATATACAACGATGCAAATATTTAGTTCGAAATTGTCTCTTGCACTAGCTTGAAAGCTTACCTGTTGAGAAAGCGGAGACGAATTTTGAGTATATGAGAATAACTGTAGTTCGAAAATGAATGCACGGAAGATTGACTCAAAATTTGTCAAAACTGTTAGCTTCAGTCCGAGAGTTTAAGTTTAAGAAATAGCGATGTGCAGATGACTGAGCTCAAATATCAAGTGAAGAAGTACAGTACAGTACGCACACTCGCTTTCTTCTATCACAAACTTACTAATTTAAACCGATATGGCTGTCAGTGACTTTCTCTTTTGTGGGGAAACTGTGTGGTGTTCACAGGCTCTTACAGAGCGTGAAATGCATGATAGTGTAGATTCATAGTCGTATACCACTGGACGTTCTAGATCGCTCGGAGTGAAATCAAAAATTCGAAACTTTCAGTGGTTATAAATAGCTGCCTCTGCCATTAGTGATTGTACGTGAGGAGGCCAAAGGAATGTAATCACAGTGAACTCTGTCGTCTAGCTCACAGGAATGAGATGTATCTGAGGACAGTTCCAGATGCGAGAGGAGTATTATTCCTTCAATGGAGATGGAGTAAATGTTCGACCGTACTGCTGACTTTGAGTGTGGGAATATGCTGGAGGTATTCGAGTGACTGATCTGTTTGTATATACTCTGTACTGCAGAAGACTTCTAGCGTGTGAGCTGCAGTATGTATAGTACGGAACATGGCTCAACTCAGCTTTACAGTGTTCTCTCATTTCTGCTCGCTAAGGAATCGCTAAAGGAATTTTTTCTTGGAAAAAGACTGCTCTCACCATGCTCTTCCCTCTTCCAGCTCCACCCACAGATCCTTCGTACGAGTCCCAGAGTTTCATGTCCACCCTTACTTTATCTTCTTAGATGAACGAGACATCAACAACCACCTCTAAATATATCCTTGCTGTAGCTGCAATTGAGGAATTTTTTGCTCTGATCATATCCACAATGGAGTAAGCCAGAGTACATTGTACAGGCCTATCGTTGTGTTTAGACTCACTCCCCATCTTTCTTTGGCTAGAGATGTACCTGAGATGAGAAATTATGCGTTGTGGTGTGATCTTTCTTAGTTCTGGATGAGAACCAGCACAATTCTGCAAACTATTTCTAGCGTATTTGACTGCAGTTATACGTACTTCTATATGGAGATTGAGTGAACATTTCTTTTAGCGTCGCAATTGTGGTTTCATTGAAATTGATATTGAACACTTCTAAGAATCGTAATGGTAATTTACGATTTACAGTCTTTTAGTGAATCTGTTGGCTTAGAGTTTTGAGCAATTTTACTCGGATCAAAAAAAAAGGTTTTGGCTATTCTTGAATACATACATACAGAGTGAATACATACATATACTCGGTAAAAAGCTTATTTATTTCTTTACATCTGTATCCCACATGCGAGATGGGATAAGAGTGCTGTGGTTTTGAAGGCGGGAAAAGATATGATATTTGATAGAGTGCTTAGATTCTAATGATGATGTGATGTTATTGTAATGACCTTTAGTCTAGGATTTGGACTCAACCACATCTCAATACTAACAAGACTAGATCACAATGATGTAGGATATTTCAAAAAAGGATGAAACTTAGCAAAGCTACACTTTTCAGCTATGGCTAATTTCAGCGAGTGTATTTTTTCAAACTGTGCCCTTTACTTGCATCCACGCGATTAAAATCCATTAATCATGTGTATTTTCCAGCAATAAGAACTTATCTATCTCTAGAGAAGTTGCTTCATGCTTTATGCTTTATCTTTACGCATATCTCCAGAATATGTATATAGATT